AAATCGCAAGCACCAGTGCCTTCCAGGAAAATTCACTGGCTACAGGGCCCCACTGCAATTCCCTTCTTTCCTGAACTAGCAAGACCCAGGAGGTGTCCCCAGCTCAAGGACAGGAAGTACTTGCCACCCTCCCCCCTCAACCTGTGAACCTGCAAGCAGACAGCTCTGCCCAGGCCGCTGTGGCTTAGGGGACACCACCTCCATGTAACATGCACATACACCATGGGGTCCTCAGCAAGTCTCCATGGGAGCAGGGATGGAAGAGTGAGGGACCTTAACTCCAAGGTCCCCCTGGGAGTAAGCTGGGGAGCCCGGCATAGCTCCTGGACAAATGGAAGATGGAGCCACTGGCTTTGTTTGCAGCCCCGGCTTTCTCTCCTTCCTTGCAATGTATGTTACAGGAGGAACAAGCAGTCAGTCTCCAAACGCCAGAAACCATGACATTGGCTGAGCTCCAACGAGCCACGAAATCAACAGAAATGCTTGTCAGCAGGCAGTCCCCTTCCTCTTTGTAAAATCAGCCTCTGCGTGGAATTTTTCCCCAAGTCAGGATTCTTCAAAATGAGTCACCTCTTGACATCTCAACGACTCGAATCGATGCAGCTTTTAATTGGGGGGAGGGGAGGGAAGCAACACGCCAAAGGAGGTATCGTTGCACAGGTCCTTTTTATTGAGATTTATACACGCAATTTATCAACACAGAAAAGCCAGGCCAGCTGCTCCAAAGTAACTGTGAAAGACGGTGCCACAGAGGGTGACACACCACACACAGCGCAGGTGACCGCAGACGTGCAACAGCATCTCAGTAGGATCCTACGTCAAACGTGCACTAGTAAGGATGCTGGGACAGGACTATGAACTTCCACTGGCACAATCAATGTGGAAAGAGCAGAAACAAGTAACTTCACAGGCATAATATCTAGATTTACAGTATCTAATCCACTGGCTTCATTTTGTATAGCACTGCACAGTAGAAAACGGATTTCTTTAAGGACATCACACTTTGTCAAGAGTATAGCAAACACGTTACTACACGGGGGCTCTGCTGAGAGGCACACAGGCGGACAGAAGGGGCAGCACGTGAGAAGGAACCACCTCTCAGGGTGCAGATCTTTGTTTCATGTCCATCCTGAAGGGTCCACGCAAAAAGACCTCTCACCAAGTTTTAATCATACATGAGGGCTTTTGCTTTTGTGGCCCTATTTTTCGAACCATCTCCAAACAGCGAGGAGAAAAAAGTCCCATTCAAATGGGCTACTTCCAGCAGCGGTGTTTTTAAACACAGCTGACTCGTAAAGAAGAGGGAACACCCACGAGGAACCTTCCAGTAAGTGCCTGATAAATCACATGCGACAGTTGAATCTTGGGGCAATGGCAAGACTGATGGTGGGGGCTGGCACGAGGTAAGACACGAACAATGCTTTGCAGGCAAACCTCCGCTCCCGAAGGATGGCCCTGAAGGGAACTTGACCTGCCTGCTCACTGGAGTGCAGACTCGAGGCCGGGGCTTCACAGCCCCATCTGTACCACCGGGGGTGACAGCGAAATGCTTCCCTGAAACTCTTCTATCAGCAGCCAGTTGAGAACAAAGCATTCGGAGGCCTTCCGAAGAGGTAGATGAAAGCAGTGATTCGCACGAGTTCGCTGTCAGACGCTGCTGAAAGTGCGCCCTGCTCTCAGCCTGGACCAGAGGATGAGCTCCCGCTGAAAACAGCCCAGGGCAGTCGGGAGATGGCAGCCCCGCTTGCTAGACGCGGGATTTCAGTGTTATTTTGTGGAAAACAGAAAGGACTGGCGTTTTTTTAAGTAACTATACAAATAAAAAGGAGCAGAAGTGATAAGGAATGTTTTCAATAAAAACAAACTGAAGGAGTCAATAAATAATATAAAATGTTTTTGTGCTAAAAGAGAACTCTTGTTTTATATGTAGCTTAGCAATCATTGTTACTCAGAGAGAGCCAAATTTATTTATTATAATTCACTTAAACATAGAAAACTTCAATATAACAATAAAACTAAAAATGGCCAGTGTTTAGCTTATAAACCACATACAACATACACATCATGGAACACAATCAGCTGAGAAACAAATCCAACTTCAAGTCCTTTGTAATATAAATACACAATTAGAAATATTTCTCCATTCCCTACTCTTACATTTTATATTAGAATAAAATTAAAAAATGGAAACATAGTTACCAGTTTGCAGAGATGATTTTGAGATTGTTAGGTATAGGAAAGTTAACTCTAAGAATGATTTCATTCTAAATTGCAGTTTTTCCCCTGAATTTTTTATGTAATACATATACTGCTAACATATTTTCTATAGTGTGTGCACGTGTGTGTTTAAATACAGGCAGTTTAAAGTGTGGGGCGCTGCACGCACCAATCAGCGCTAACCCAGGCATGCCGGGGGCGCGGCTCCAGAGGCGGCGTGATGGCCGGTCACTGGGACCCTCAGGCCTTCGGACTGACGCTGCCATGAAGGGGAATCTGTTCCTCTTTATCTCTGAGGACGAAGGAACTCTAAAGCCCATTCTGACTTGAGAAAATGAAGAGTTCATTTCAGAGTTCAACTTTTGTTAATTCTACAGTAAAATTTTTAAAAATGTGGCCTGGATTTTTTTAAAAAATCATAGTAACATGAATCTAAGTAATTCCAGCCTCTGACATCAACCTTACTATGTCGGATCTTTAGAAAGAAAAGTTTTGAAAGTGTAAACAAAGCTCACTCTAGAAATGGGCGTGGCTTAGGCAGCTTGCTCAGTCCCGTCATTCTTGGGGTTTTATCGCAATGCCAACAGATGTGCGACGACATCTGAAACTCACCAACAGGGCAATGCACTGACGGCCACCCAGACGCCACCCCTGGCCCTGCCTACAGCTGCAAGGCACATACACCAAGCTGGGGCTTTGGCTCTGGGTCCCGTGAGCCTTCCCCGCAGTGCGAGATGATGCAGTAGCAACTGAATTTCTACAGAATGTCCTCATGGAGGAAGCAAAGGGCCTCTTCGTAACTTCAGCAGCTCCATGTTCAAAAACAAAGTGACCAGGTCTCACAATAATTACTAGAGAACTTCTCTGTTACAAGGGGTGGTTTATGGTGTCAATGGAATGATTTATTTTTAAATAACAGTAATAATAATTATTATTTTTGCCATCTACCATTGTTCTCTGTGACACCCAGTCCACCCACCTCCGGCCACCGCCTGACACAGATCCCAATGAAGCCCCCAATTCCTCTCTGGGTACAAACAACAGGTCCCGGGGTGGGAGCAGTTAATTCCTCAAGCATCTCTGAATGATACTTCGTAAACATGACTAAGAAAAGAAAATGACATGTGATTAAACCATGCAAGGTAAGTATGATCTCAAACCAAAGTTCCCCCCTCCCCGTTTTTTTCTTCACAGATTTACATCAATCAAAGAAAGTCCAACTTTTGAAAATTTTGCTTTCTTGATAGGTTAAAATTTTGAAACATCAGAAAAATCAATGCCACTGAAAAGTCAAATGTTATCTTGAATTGGCCCAATTATAATTCTGAATGAAAAAAAAACATTAGAGAAAAAACCACTTTGATCTTTTTTAATCCAGCTAAGTTGTACTGTCAATTGGTAAATGCTATTTTTTTAATGGTCGGTGAGGGCCTTAGAACAATTGTTTCTGGTATCTTACGGAACATTTCGAACTGCAAATCAAAACAAATCTTGCTTAAAACAGGTTGCTGTTTGTTGTTGCCACCTTCCTTGCTTTAATTTACTGCTTCCAGTTCTGTTGCTGCCTTTCCCAGCAGAATACTCCCCGCCCCCCCACCCCGCCCCCGCCCCAACACGCACCTTGACCTCTGGCCTTTTCTTTTCAAACACAGAATTTGAAACGGCAATTTCAGTGAATCGACCAATCAGAGGCACGAGTAAAGAAATATCTGCAGTAACAGTGAAGTAATAGCTAATTTCTAGAAGTTGCTGAAAAATCATCCTTAAATATCATATAGAGGAAAAAATCACGAGCACCAATGACGGGAGGGGAATAAATTCACTGAAGAGAATGTTTTAAGTTAAAAAAAGTAACCTCAGCTTCATAAAACTTTAAAATTTTCTCCATATATATTGTGTAGCAGCTATATTATTTGTAGGCTTTGCTTTATTGATTCCTCTGATTTATGAAATCAAGACTTATTAACTTTATAAAAATACTATCAATTCAATTATCTTCTTTGACAATGTTAAAATATCCCAACCATTTTATACATACTCGTATACCTATTTCTAAAATAATGAGAAAACCTGTGCAGAATTTTGTCTTCTTTAATGGTCCAAACAAAGGAAGGGTCAAACATCGAGGAGTGATGTAACACCCATGAAAGCATCCGAAACAGCCACTGATGCCCAGACTTCCACCCGGCGCCGGGCGCGGACACCGCAGGCTCCCAGAAGTGCCCTGTGCCCGGCAGCAAGAGCGCTTACCCGGTCGGAACGGCTGCGGGCACAAGTTAAGACCGGCCTCCCCAGGACCGCCACGCTGGAGCCCCAGCACAGCCGGCGACCTGCCACCCCAGGCACAGACACCGTCAATCAGCTCCTCCACGCGACATCCTTTCAGCCACGTCGTTGTAAATCAAGCGTGAGTTGGGGGAACGCAAAAGTTTACTTGGAGTAAGTCTGAGCCAGAAGGGTTCCTGGGCTGTCTTCCAATTCCTATTTCTTACGAGCCATTTCTAAATTTCTAACAGAGAGGTTAACCTTACCTTCTACGCCAGAACAAAAATTGTGTTTTTCAAAGAGAAGCGAGTTGGTGAGCCTAATGCCCCAGGTGTGACGTGCGGGACGCTCTGCCCAGACCCTGAGGGGCTCCATGCGCCCTCTGCAGGCGGGGCTCGGAGATTCCTCAGCTCCGCCTGCTCTGCGGGCGGACCGGCGGTGACGAGGCAGCGACAGGCCTGGGAAGACGCTCGCTCTTTAGGAACAACTGCTTTTCTGTCTTGGTGGGATATTTGCCCTTTTTAAAAAAAACAGAACTTGAGGACTGTTCTTCCCTTTTAAAACCGAGAGTGCAGACCACACCCCTCCCCCTCTATTGAAAACCGCAGACGGCAGAACTGTGTGTGTTAAACTCCAACAAATAGCTGAGACGGATAGTGACCCTCCTAATTTCTTTTCCAAAGTAACTCCCGTGAAAAATAAAAGACTCTTTCAGTAATCATCTTCCCCACTCCCAAAATAGAGTTTCATTTAAAAAGTACTATCTTTCCCAATGAACACAGCACAGAAATGTAAAAACAAAGACTTAGAACCACTAAAAATACCAAGGACAGGATGCAGACAATTATGATGGCAAGTTATGTATATTGTTAGTAGTTAACTTAGAAACATACAATGTAATTGCACTAAGAACAGGACAAATAAGTGGACTTTCAAAATTATTATTATTATTATTTTTTAGCCTGATGACATGGAGGACGTTGGTGGGAAACACCCTTTTCTCATCAGCCAGCATTTACTGGGGCGTGAGGAGGGCATGGCGCTCGCTGGGGAGAGGGCGCCACGGGAATCAGGCGACAGTCTTCACGCACCAACGTCACCGTCGCAGAACAACCCACCCAGTGCGAAGTATCGGTCATGACTGGCAGATCAACAGCAACATAAAAGTCCACATACACAGTCAACCCATTCTGACACATTCATTCTTTTTTCAATAAAATTCATTTTAAATTATACTAAAAGGTGAAGCAGTTTCCTTCCCTTACACATCCATCGCTGATATGTTTTTTGAGGTTGGGCAGGAGGATCCAGAATGACCGTGTCACACAACAGCTTCTAGTCGCCACCCAACAGGCTCACCCCCAAACTTGAAGATCGCTGAAAGTCGTTATTGCCCTGAAATTAAAGCCCCGCTGCCTCTCCTTCAGAATCGCCGTCGGCATCTGCAACGATCTACTGCCGAGCGCCCCCAGCCCTGAGGGACCCCCGCGGCCTCTGAGCGCCCGCTCCCTCGGTTCCCTCCAGGGGCTCCCCATCAGAGGCGGACCGCACCCGTGGGCGCGGCGCACGGGCGGCGAGGGCCGAGTGCCCCCTTCTCGGGAAACGTCTTCAGCTTTCGGCCGGGGACAGCAAGAAGTCGGTCCTGAAGTGCACAGGAGAAACACACGGCTGGCCCCCCGCCGCCAGTAGCATGGAGCAAAGACACCGAAAATCAGCAGTGACTGTTTACAGATAAAACAGGGCAACACCGGGGACGATCGATTACCCGACACTGCGGACAGTTAAGTTCCATCTTGGCAAGTCGAAGATGTTTGAGAGCAGACATAAAAATCGAAGTGATAAGTAGGAATCATCTCAAGTGCTAGGCTCATAGATACCAAAATGAGTGTGTAGCAAAGAAAAAAAACTTTCTTTTCTTCAGTAGTTTTGCGTGTGGACAGATGTGAGGCAGCGGGGGCCGCTCTGGTGGGTGGGAGGCCGACCCTGGGCCTGAGAAAGGTCACAACTCCTATTAGGAGCACCTCGGCGTCCTGGGTCTCCCCAGCGGCGGAAGAACCCTGGGAAGGAGTGAATCCATCCTCTGATCCTCGTCCGTCTCCAAAAGGCTCCATTTCAAGGGCTGAAAACAGCCGGTGTGGACTTCGCTGAGGCCCCGTCTGCGCCAGGACCCTCCCGTCCTGGGTGTCAGAGGCCATTGCTGTTCCTGTGACAGAGGGGCGGCTTTGAGAGCTCGACGACGCCCAGCCGAGACTTGTTGAGGAACTTGGGAGCGCGCCGCAACAACCGCTGGGCCTCGGTGAAAGTTTCTGTCAACTCTTTCTTCCACTGCACGAACTCGGGGTCACTCTAAATGGAAACACACAGGGAGGCTGTGACAGCTTCACGCATTGTGCCAGCACACGCAGACACTGCTGGTACTGAGTGGCCTTGGACCCCCAGTGAAAGCACCCTTTCTTCCTGCCCCGCTGCAGCGTTGTCGGCTGGGGGGTCCTGCGCACACTGCCTCCTCTCCCTGCAGAGGCGGGAAAGGCCACCCAAGCCCCACAGACGGTCCTCACACAACCCCCCCGCGACCGCTGCCTTCAGTCTGTTCGGGGATCACCTGTGACTTCTGGTTCCTAAAACAACTCCAGTTGAAACAATCATAGAGGAGTTGTTGTGACAAATTTAACACATATTCCCAGGGAGTAGTGAAGTAAGTAAACATGTTTTTGCATCTACTACTGGTCTGGTATCTTATGTTTATTTAAATATACCAACCTCAAACTCAAATGTGCTGAGAAATCTGGAAAATTATGTAACAAATAAAATTCTAGGCCGTTATTAATCACTCTACAGAGTTTCCAGAGAGGGTAATCAAGTTAATTCATGTACTTCCTCCTCCCATGTGCTAACATTTACTTCTCTAAAAATAATTTAATTTGCTGAAAACCTTGTACCTAGGGCTTTCTTGCTAAGTTTGTAAGTGACAAAGCATGGAGTAAGAAAATGTTTTATAACTAAGCAGCCATCTTTTCTGAAGATAGATAGATGGATGGATAAATATTGTTCTCAACTGCACCTATAAAAAAATAATAAAAACTCACCTCACATTGCAAGACAAATTGCTTCCCTCCTTTTATCCTCAACAAAATGCATTTTTTGTCTTTAATCTGAGTTTCTTCCACAGACAGAATCTGTTCCATTGTCAGCAAATTTTGCTAATCATAGAAACAAAAATTATCAATTACTTCAAATCATTCACGATTTAAGTTACATTAGTAAAAAATACCGAAAACTACCAACTTAGGAAAAGTAAACAAAAAACGTGGCATTTTTCTTTCTTCGATAACATTCTAGAAGTGGGAGGAGATGGCTACAAAGGAACACATTCAAGAGTTCAAATCAGAACAGCTAAAAACAAAAACAAAAATAAAAAACATCACCAAACTGCAAAGAAAGGAATATCCCCGTAAGGCCAAACAGCAGAGCTGACCCTCCACACGGACCTGATGTCTGAGCGACTGAGTCTCGCACATTCTGTACCACGCTCATCCTATTCTATCAGTCGAGTTGCGAGGGAGGAAGAGGCGCTTCGCATGGTGCACAGGAGCCGAGAGGGTGTGGCCGAGCTCTGGCACAGCAGCTCAGTAAATGCGCGGCAAGGTGGGCTTGTCAGCTAACACTACCTTGATGACGTCAAAACGATGTTATAAATACAGGTGACATCCTTAAAAGACTGTCACACTAGGTCTATAGCATCATTGCTTCAGGGGGAATGCTAGACTGTCCTGAGAGTTTTACCCTTTTATGTGTTTTTGGACAAATTCTCCAGGAATCCTAAATGAACCACCGCCATCAAAAACGCTCATGTGTGCTTTTTCCCCACTGATCCTACGGATCCACCGTGTGTATGATGTAGTTTCGGAAATGGAACATTAAACGTTGACTCTTTTGAGCCAAGATAATTTATTGCATCTGTTAATCACAGGAAGATTTTTATTTCGTTTCAGATATCCTGAAAAGTGGGACCATTTCCTTTCAATGTGCATGGCAGTGCCTAGTGTACCCAGGGCCACTCACTATCTGGAATTACACATAATAATAATAGTAACAATAATAATCAATTACCTATGAATTATGACTCAGGTGCTGAGTGCATATATAGCTAGCCATGACAATATATACTGCATACTATATTACATAACACCCGCACCTGAGTTAGAATTCGGGACCCCCCACAAAGGGTCTTAATCCTAACCCAGGTCCTAGGAGCATTAAATGTTTACAAAATGCCTTTTATGCATTAGCGATAGTGACAAGATCTTGTTTGTTTATATAGAATGTAATATGTAATAGCAACCACTCATAATTAAACAGCAACTTCACCAGCGGGTTTTTAAAAAACACATTCCGAGTCAACTAAACAAGGTTTGGGCTCCCCCTTTCCACGCCGCTGACCGCTGGAGAACGGGTAGGCCCTACTCCCATACATCCAACACATCGGTTACGTTTTAACATTTGGAACCAAGAGCAGGGACATTCTTCCCACGGTGACTAGCCCTGGGTTCCTCACACAGTAGGTGCCTAATAAATGCTGCCTGGCTTGCCAAAAGGGACAGTATGGATCAAAAATTTCTTTTTATCTTGTTCATAAGCATTAGTTCCTGCAAGGAGCTTACGGAGCAGCTGTGTCTTCCTGTCTCTCCTCAGGAAGCTGGTTACAAGCTTCCGACAAGGCGGAGATGAAAGGAAGTTCGGTTTGGTGACTTTGCCTTGGGGCCAAGCACTGCTTACCTCGTGTCATTTGTCCCCAGCTAGGGGAGCCAGCTGTGTAGTGGAGACACTGAGTGCACAGGCCGATCTCGGCCCGATCACTCCTCACAACTGTCTTGTCGCGGGCGCCAGATCGTCCCTCTCTAAGCCCTGCCTCCCTCTTCATAGAATACGAGTGGGACCCCCAAATGTTGCTACCCATTAAATGACTTTTTTTTTTTAACAGCACCTTATTGAAGGTAAATATGGAAAAAAGTGTATCAGCTGTTATGCTTTCCAATTATGTCTCCCATTTTACAGGTGAGGAAACTGAGGCCCAGAGTCAGTGTAATGGGCTCAAAGTCCCCGAGGAACCGAGCAGTAGATTTAAACATCTCTGTTTGATTCAAAATCCCTAGTTGTTTTTTTTTCCTTTTTGGATCTACCCAACGGCCCTCCAGCCTTCTTCAAACCTGTCTGCTTTGGACCTCACGGAACGACACCTTCTATTTTCAGACATTACAATATCCTTCCTTGACTTACAAGTCTAACAGTTACAGTTGGAATGTCAAAGTCTCATGTGTACGAGTGAAAACAGGTAGGTACACAGAGCTTCGGAGGCTATTTTACAAAACATGCCAGCAATCTGAAATAACCAGCCACAGAACGTTCAACAGAATGACACTAAGTGCTTGGTAGGAAGCGTGAGACTTACTCGCGACTCCCCCTCTCCTCGCCATTCAAGTCTGTTTGGAAAGAGGTAAAAATATCGACGCTGCCACTGAGTCAGAAAGGGGTTTCCCAGTTTCAGCATGTACCCGTGCATAATACAGTCTCTTCCCAGGGCGTAATCTGAGGGACAGAAAAGAACTGTGAGTGAAACAGGGTCTGAAACAGAATGTCTATGTTAGTCTCAGAAAGAAAAAAAAAAAAGAATTACATACCTTCTGGAAAAATCAAATTTCTAGCAATGTATATTGGAGAAATCATTTCTTTAAAAAAATTTTTTAAATTAAACTTATCGGGGTAACATTGGTTAATAAAATTATCTATGTTCCAAGTGTAGGATTCTGTAATACATCATCTGTACACTGCATTGTGTTTCTCACCCAAAATCCTATTTCCTTCTGTTACCATATATATTTGACCCCCTTTACCTTTTACTACCTCCCCCCACTGCCTTCCCCTCTGGTAACCACCGTACTATTGTCTGTGTCTATGAATTTTTGTTTGTTTGTCTTGGTTGTTCATTTGTTGCAGAAATAATTATTTCAGTCTTCACACGCATAGGAACTGGGAATGTAAAGAACGGAGGTTTCTTCAGCTCTCGCTCTGATATGGAACAGCTTCCTAATTTTCTCATCAGTTCATGAGAGCCACTTGCTGCTCCGAGGGGGCAAGAGTCTGCTCTGAAACTATTTTTTCAGTCCACTCACAATGGGGGCTGGACAGCAGAGTCACTGAATTCACACTCTGCCCCAAGCACCTTTGCCTCTAGGTGGGGCTAAGGGTCTCCCTTTGATCTACCTTTCAGTTTCTAAGTAATAACAGTGTGAGAATTTTCATGTCCAACTAAGCCAAAGTAACACAAGGATCAAAACTGTTTATTCCTTGATTTAAGGTTATCTTTCTTTCTCAAATACATGGTTATGTACAAAAACCAAGCTAATTTACACTCACATTAAGTCCTGAATACCTTTTTACAGTGATGTACTCTTTAAAAAAGAAAGAAAGAAAGAAAGAAAGAAAGAAAGAAAGAAAGAAAGAAAGAAAGAAAGAAAGAAAGAAAGAAAGGTTCATTTTAAGTGGCTTGCTCTGCCTTCATTAACAGTTTGGGTGATTGTGCTAATATCATCCATTCGCTCTCATTCATTCATTCAACAACAGTAAGGGAGCGCTGAAGTGCTGAGCGTGTTCCAGCCATTGTGGATTCAGCAGCAGCAGCAGGAGGTGAGACTCCTCGCCCTCAGGCAGCTTCCACTCAAGTGGGAGAGGCAGACGACACGCACACACGCAGCACCCGCACTGCGCCCCATGGTACCAGCAGGTTGGAAAAGAGCAAAGAAGGACAGCACTGGAGAGGGACAGCGGAGAGGCCAAGCTTCCTGGATGTGTCATTTTAACAGAACAGTGTCTGCACTTCTAAAGTATATTTAAAGTCTAAGTCTTGCGTTTTTACTTCAGAGACCTAAGCCTAAACTATTTTGTCTGTAAAGGTGACTTCTGAGATCTTCAACCAAGACCCCGTTACGCCCAAAATACTTACTTACACACGAAGATAAATTGATTAATTTGTTAGGCATTCTAATTAGAGCTTTAATTAAAAGGAAGCACTTCAGCAAGGTCATCGAGGGATATGTATTTTTCTGGGTCTAATGTGTCTGGATTCTGGTGACAGGATGCCCCCCGCCCCCGCCCCCCGCCGCCCCTGGAGCAAATCCCCACCAACAGAATTTCACCAATTCTGTGGTAAAATCTGCTACAGCACACAGTCCGGAGTGATCGCAAAGGACTTTTTCTCTACAGAAGAGCTTAGAGGCAAAGCCCTTTCCCTGGGGAACGGAGGTGCGCACAGGCGAAGGGCTAGACAGGCGCCCCGGTGCACTCAGGGGGCTTGAGTGCAAGGGGCAAGTCATCGAGGACGGGGGTACTTTTCCCAGCAGCTGATAAATGCTACTGGGAAACTGTGGACAAGACACACAAGGACTCCTCATGATGCCTGTCCCCCCACCAAAGTAACCATAACGTGACACCGTTTCAGGTCATTTTGTTATACAAAGCTAACCTCAAAAGGTCTTTGCTGAGAGGTAAAGCAAAATGGTGTTTTACCATAATCATCAACTACAATATAGTTAAATGGTCAAAAGCCATAAAATCTTAGAAAAATCAAAGAGTGACAATATTTGGTGAGTCGAGAATGACTGCTGTGTTTGCTATTCGATGTTATGTATTCTACTTTGAAAATCCAAATAGGGCGCTCGAATACTGTAAATAAAACCATGACTCCGCAATTCTTACTGCTGTTCGCGATACAAGTGTGTCAACACACGTATCTCTCTTCACAGGTGACGTGTAAGGCTACGTTCCTCATGAGGACCGGCTCTAGGCTTTGCAGGGCTGAGCGAAAAATGAAAATGCAGGCCTCTTGTTCAAAAGTTATTAAGCACGTCGAGGTGGTGACAGCCCAGCATTCGACAGAGCCGGGTGCACAAGTCCCACACCCATGACGCCAGTCCTGTTCCTGACGCCGTTGCACCCCCTCTTCAAGGGAAACGTCCCAAGGAGCCCCCATGCACGCCACGCAGACACGCTAACAACACTGCTATCTCCATACATTTTCATTTATATATTGACACTGATTTTGAAATGCAGGGTGCGGCACAAATAATGCCCCTGTTTTTATTACAAAATCATAAGCCTGTAACTCTGTAACATAAAAATACCACACTCAAGCAGGCGTTACTTCTGCCGCACGCTGTATTATACTGAATCTTTCCAGGCAGGATAAAACTAAAATGATTTATGACATTTCCCCTTCTCTATTGGAAAGCACTCTGTAACCTAAATACTCTTTCAGCTTTACAAGAACTTTTGAAAACCCATCGCCTTAGGAACATCTTGCGAGACATTAGCTGTTTTACCTTCTTCGTGGCCAAGTTGCTTATTTTTAGCTCTCTTCCTGGCCTCGATTTTATCTGTGTCTGCATTCACCGCTTCGTAAATGGTTTCCACCACTTCCTGCTGCCAGCGCTCGGAGATTACCAACGGGAAGTTCTTGTAGAGTTCTTGGTCGCAGTCAAGGAGCTTATTATTTAAAGGAATCGAGATATTTATGAGTTACCACACTTACAAAGGCAAGAGATTCAGAAGTCTCCTAACTGTAGGCAGGGACATACCACTACGATGGCATGTAATTGTGTAGAACAATTTATTAATTGTGACAAGTCTCTGCTAATGACAACCAAGCCACCAGGGCCCACAAATGGTTGTGACTGGTAAGCACTGCACTCTCACTCCCGCGTCAGTGAGATCCACCGATTTTCCTAACGATCTTCATTACCTTTTGCTGATGAAAGTTAACATACACAGGCTTTTATCTGAAGTACTAAAAGGTTTGGACAACAAAATAAAATGTCACTTATGGTGCGGATACTTTGTGTTGGAAAGAGACTCCTACTGTTTTTAGAAACAATAAAAAGGGAAAAGCCAGGAGTGTTTTCCAACCACCTTCGATTAATCTGAAAAGTGAGGAAAACAGAATCTTAAGCAGGGTTGAAATTTACCTTTCATTCCACGAAACTTCTAACTCATCCAAATTTAACAGTGTCATCCAATGACTGACCATAATGCTCAAGATACATGGAGAGTTTAGGCAACTTAGTATTTTGTTGTGTATAATGCGGATGTGCATTATACAAGAGATAATTATAATGTGCATCCTTATTTTTCCCTCAAGAATTTGGGCAAAAAAGTGTGCATTTCAGAGGAAGTGTAATAAAAACGACACAGTGATTGTGTTTCTTTTTGAAACTCTTACTCAGATTCCTTCATTCCTCTCCCTAAGTGAGGTTGCGTTCTGAATGTGAGTAAAGCAAACGGTTTTATGCATCGGAGCTGTTGTTTCGTGATACGAAGGGTGGCAAGCCCACTGAGAAAATGCATGTCCTTCAAAAGCACAGGTCCCTCTGTGAACTTGATTTGCTCACTCCTTTGCCAGAGAGGTGAGTACAGATGGTCTCTGACCTAGGATGGCTGGACTGAATGAATGTTTGACTTTATGGTGGTGTGAAAGTGATACGCATTCAGTAAAACCACGTTTTCCGTCTTGAATTTTGACCTTTTGCAGAGCCAGGGACATGCGGCATGATGCTCGCTGTGACGCCGGGCAGCGGCAGCGACGTGGCTTCGTCTAGCTGCAGGCCGATGTGAGTATTCTGAGCACGTTTAAGGCAGGCCAAGCCAAGCTATGATGTTCAGCAGGTTAGGGGTGTTAAATGCATCTTCAATTGACAATATTTCAACTTACCATTGGGTTTACTGGAATGTAACCCATCATAACTCGAGGAGCATCTATACTGGGCAGATATTGTAACAGGGGAGTTATTCAGAAGGGAAAGAAAGAGCAAGGGTGAGGCACTGGCCTGCAAGCCCGGAGCAGAGGAAGGGGACCCAGGAAGGACGGGCACCCAGGGCCAACGTGGCGCGTTCTCCGCCTACTCTTGCTGACCTCTTCTCATCATGTTCTGACCTTAAGGTCGCTCTGATTCATAGAGCTGTCCTCCTTTCAGTTTTCTGCAGACACCCAAACCAGGCCCTGAGCTAAAATCCTCCGTTGCTCTTAACGTGAACACTGGAGGTGTGTGCACCTATGTGTGTGCGTGAGTGTGTACTGGGCAGCCAGAACGCCGGGGCTAGAAGAGCACCTTGTGACCGGGGAGACTGGGACAGATTCTGAGGAGTCTGGCAAAAGCGAAAACACTCCTTTCCAAAGTAGCTGTTCTGATACGGTCAACTCTGCTTTATGTACGAAACCCATTCCACCTCCTGTAATTTCTGAAAGCCTTGATCTATGTGATCTGCCCTACGCTGTTAAAAATGACTAAAACAAAGAAGAATATTTATATTTATTTGTAAGCTTTTACAAAATACACTTGTTATTTGGGCTGCTTTCTAAGGATAAAGAATAGACAGTTTCTTAAAATGCAGTGCCCAGAGCACTGGGCCCTCCTGGGCCAGGAGCCTGGCCACATGCTGCTTCCTGCTCTACGTGTGCTCATCCAGAAGCGCCAAACCCACAATGACGGAAGCGACTAGTGTGTGCCTCATGATGCGCCGGGAGGCTCAAACAGGTATGTCCTTTATACCCACAGAATCTTGGCAATGAAACCTGTCATTTTCCAGGGAAGAAAAGCTCACGGGGCTACCTATATGGCCCTGGTTTACTCAGCTGATCAGCACGCATCTGAGCCCAGTCTGTCTGACCCCAAAGCCCAGGTTATGGTTTATGAAATTTAAAGCCCGAGAATCTCTGTTTAACACCATAAATGTCCACGGGCTCCCACATCACAGGCATTTTATTTTTAGCGCCCGTGATGGAGGGCGGTGGATCTGATGACACAATTCTGGTGCGACAGCAGAAAACCTTTTAAGTAGCCCTGTAAATGGACCGTTCCCCGAAGCACTGCTGTAGGCTGGCACTCACATGCCTGGCTCGTGCTGTCTGTACAGGACATAAAAGGTGCCGAGTGGTGCCCATGTCTGGTCACTGGTCACACAGCTGTCGCCCAAGAGAGCCACTACTCCAGACAACAGAAGTCGCCTTGACCTTCTCCGCAATCCGCTTCGCCCAACCGCCCGCTCCTGGGAAACTGCCCTATGAATGCCCTGATCGCCTTGACATCTCAGCCCCTCCTCTCCCAACACTGACGGTCTCCCGCTTCCCGCCGCCCTCAGGCTGCTCTCGGTGGCTGCTCTCCTTCCCAGCAACCTCCATGCCTTCCCCCAGCGCTGAGCCGCCCCCTCTGTGCCCATTCCCCATTTGGTTCCAGTTCTGTGCATCTCTAGTCATGGCTCCTGCTAGGCCCTAGTGTTTCATGTGTTAAGTCTTTCAACCGCGCCTCTGGAGGGGCAGCTACTTGGTAGGAAAAATTGGAAAATCAGGGGCTTACATAACAAGGCTAGAAATGCTGGCAGCTGGGAGGAGGCCGGGAGCACCCAGGAGGGCGGGGGAGAGCCTGGGGCGGCGGTGACAGTGGGGGCAGACGAGCGCTTGACATGTAGTGAGACATGTTGACTTTGCAGCCCCAAGTGGGTGGTTTTCTCCATGACTCACCACCTCAAATTATATCTTGTCTACTTGGGAAAATAATGATATGAACAAAAGTTTGAAAAATGCAGAGGATTATACTAAAAAACAGTGATTATTTCACTTTTGATTGACAACTGTAACGTGATTCATGCTGTTTGCTCCTTTCCTCCTGACACAGACTGGCTCTTGGGCACAAGGAGATATATGTTTGCTGTCACACGTTTGGTTTTTTATACCTGCTTCCTATACATCTGAGTTCTAATTCAATCACAAATACATCCAAATCAGTAATAATCTGACCATTTTGCAGCTTATCAAACATAAAGTTATTAGCCCCAGAAAAGATTTCCGAGTTTCTAATTTAGGTCCTTGACTTCCACATTCTTCAAATATGTAGATGTTCACTTGTAAGGTACATCCCACAAACGGGCCAATACTACAACGACCACACAGTTTGGTTTCTTAAAAAAAAAAACAAAAACACAAAAAACTCTCGTATCCTTCAAAAAAACTGAAAGCAAACATCGCACGTGTACCTTGATGCCTTTGGTGTCCTCTTCATCAAAAGAGCCAATGTCAAAGGCGTCAGCAGCATTGACTTCTCCCCGGGGAGGAATCAAGGGTGGAGGGTACTGGAAGGCCCAGAGAAATAAGGTTCAGTTACCAGACGACCCCCGACTCCACCTACCATTCCGTAAAGAGAACGCAGTGCAGTGAAGTCTTAACACGCTTCTCTCAGCAGAACCGCAGTGAAGCTCACAGCCCACATGCCACATGCGTTACAGGTGAGCGGCCACACTCGTGGCCCCAAAGGAAGACCTCGGGTTTGGACAAATTTAAGAAAAAAAAGAAAAGACTCATGTCCAAAGTCTAAAATAATTATTAAGTGCAATGAAGGTTCACGACTGCACATCCTCCTGCCTCAACTTTAAGAAAGGTCCTTTTCTCAGGTGATGCGGCACCATGTGTTACTCGCTAGGGCCTTAAAGTTCAACAGGGAAGATGGAGCCCTTCACAGCCACAAAGGCCTGGAGGCCGATGCACTGAAGTTTGAACTTGATTCTGACCAGGCAGGACTCACTATCCCTCCACAGTCTGAGTTCATGGAAAAACAAGTCCAAAGCTGATAAACAGGATTAAAAAAAAAAAAAAAAGCTACCTTTAGTTTGGGGTGTTTTCCTTTATCAAGGTATGTAAATAAAATAAGGAAAAGGGATTATGCTGATATACTGTCATGTGAATTCTTACATTGTGTGGTACAGGGCTAGAAAGCATATGTAAGTTTACGACAAATGTTTCCTGTACACTTTTGTATTGAAAAATATAAAAATAGTCACAAATTGAGATAAGAAGGTGAGCTAGCGCTAAAAACGTCTCAATTATGTGGATATTTGAATTAGATAACAGCTGCATGTCACCATTTATTAATTTATACAGAAGATATTTTCAAAACGTTGAAACGAGGGAAACGGAGAGGCAGTGGTCAGTGGCCCCTACGGAAGTCCGCCCCCGGGCCACTCTGGGACGGGAGAGCAAGAAGGACATACGGACAGGAGACATACTGGGGAGCCCTGGGGACAGACCCAGGAGGCAGATACGGCGAGCACAGTGATGCTGGGGTGGCGGGGGGAGGGGGGCTGTCCCACGGGCAGTACCTTTTGCAAGTAGACATGTTGCCAGTCGATGCCTTTGAAGAAGCTGTGCTCCTTTATTTCCTGTGCGCTGTGGGGGAGAGAGGCATAGCAGTGGTGAGCGCATGTCTGGAAATCTAAGACATATTCTGCAAAAATGGTCTCCTATTAGGAACACAGGGGAACAACTATTTCCAGTTCCTTAAGAGAGCAAGTAAAAAAAAAATACTTCCTTCAAAGTAACACAGGAAACGCTGTGATTTTTTTTTAACTTAATTTTTATTTTTGATCTTAGAGAGGGGAACAGAAGGAGAAAAAGAGGGAGAGAGGCATCCACTGGTTGCCATTTGCATAAGCCAGCAACCCCGGCATGTGCCCCGACTGGGAATCGAACCAGAGACATTTTGGTCTGTAGGCCGACACCCAACCCACTGAGCCACACTGGCTGGGAACACTGTGATGTCTAGAAATACCGCATGCCAAAGCTGTGAATATGATCCCACATGATAATTTATTTGGAAAATTTATTCCAGTTTGGGAATTTTCACAGATTTTATATTTATTTATGTTTCTGTAATCATGAGAACAAATTTAAATAAGAATTAAAGAGATCTACACATTAGAGAGAATTATAGCAATGCTTTCAAGTCACAATAGATAAAATGATAGAAATATGAAGCACCAAATATTTATTCTGCATCAAATTATAACTCTGAAAGAAGCACGCATGCCATGCCCAGCAGGGGCGGCGGTGTGTTCCATCAGGGAAGGGGTGCTACGCATGTACCACATGTGAGCGTGAGGTTCATTGCCAGGCGAGGTGGACACTATGTCGTGAACACGCTCATGTTGCCTTGCAGTGTAAATACTACCTCATTTCCAACTTTTGAAACCCGCTGATGTACAAAGCATGAAGGCTGGTAATGATTAGAGAATAGGGAGTAAACAACATCAAGTTGATAATGTAAATATCGAAAGTAATAATGACAAAAACTAGTCAGTGGGAGAGAAGATAACAGAAAAGACAGAAATGCCAAAACCTGAGTTTTATGAAGTGGGGACTCAAGAGACACTGTTTATAATTGATGGAACAAGGCACAGCTGGGTAAGTATAGAAATATAAAGCTACAAAGGTTAAGCAAAAGAGGGACCAAAAATAGTGTTTCAATTATTTTGAGGCGGTAGAAGGAGAAGGCTCTGTGGAAGGTGCTGAGTGACCTAAATCTTCATCTATTATAGTAGGAATTAGAAATTTCTGAAATTAATAAATAAATACGCATATTACACATTATGTAGCTCCCTCTGTAATACACATATGTGACATACACATGATATATAGATACATGTACACATATACTAGTTTAAACACACATGTACACATATGACACAGGATTAAACGCTGTTTCTTATGCATAGTAAGCCTGGGGGTGGGGAGAAATACGGGGAAGGTCTGAGTTAAGTCTTCTGTGAGCTTCCCAGGTATTCCTGGGGTTTTTTCCATTTTGGAGGCCGTGCAGGGAGATGGGGGGCAGGTAGAGGATGAATAGAAAACATGTATAAGATGGTGGTCAGTCAGCTATACAGTAAAGAAAGTACATGAGAACCTGAGCAGAATATTAAACTGCCAGAGTTACAAATACAATCCTTAATAAGCCCATACTAATCATCACTAAAACTTTACCAAATGAATTATGTAATATCAGAATTCATTTCCGCCATCTCTGCAATCAACTTTAAGTTAAAAAGTCAGCAACTTCTTCGACTTGTTAATTACAAAACACATGAACGGACGTACATATTTCTCATGTGATTTCCGCCCCCTGGGAACCAAACAGAAGACTTCTACAGACTAGGAAGGATTTTTGATACACAATGAAAATGACTGTTTTGCTCTCCAGGTAAAGATGTTGATAGGCAGAAATGCCAGCCTACCCGCCTCCGTGACAGCCAAGCCGCTTGCTAACTTCTCGCTGGAGCAGGCCCTCCAGAAGGGACTTCAGTTCCGGGGAGAAGGTGTCTGGAAGTTCCACATTCTGGGGGGAAAAGAGATCGCAGTGTCAGAAGTGCATTTGCGGAACCGGTGCCTTCACACCCAACCAGATTTCAAGTCCACCGCTCAGCTAAGGATCGCGTCGAAGATTACAGGCGCGTCACAAGTGAATACTCCCTCTTATGAAGCAAAACGGTTACTAATCATTTTCAAAGTCAATCCACAGGCTGAGGCAGGTGAGAAAAAAAGATTTAGAAGGTCTCCTTACTTTTCTGCATCTAACTTTCCCTTTGGTTCGACTTCTTTAGTCTAGTTCATGACTTTCTCTTTTTCTTAATGATTGTCAGCAAATCTCGATTTTTGCCTCAGCATCTATTTCCATTATTGTTTTGTTTTTTGAGATTCTTTTAGGGGTTGTGCCTTCAGTTATTTATTGTAAGAAAGCAAAATTTTACGTCGGCTGTAATGGAAACATGAAATTGAATAAAAACAGAGGTTTCAGTGTCCTTACCACGGTGAGCGTCATCCGGTCTATTTCATGCTTATCTTTGGTTTTATGCTGTCTGAAAGGGCTGTGACTGCGGAAATAAAAGGCATTCTATTATAATATGGTATCAGCTAGCTTAGCACGTATCACTGACTAATATTTGGGTAAAGCATTGTGCTCTGTCACTGTTCATTCAAAACTACAGAAATACAAAAGCCACCCACACTGGTCATTTCCAGACAACAAACTGGTGATCAGACATGTCAGGTCCAGAAACAGCAAGGCGTACACTCATTAGAACTGCCTGGCCCTCTCAGTACTAAAATACACTTCAGCAAACACATTCCAACTGATAATCCAAAATATCAGTAGAAAAATAATTAGCCAACAGGTAGTTATGAAAATGAAAGCCATTTATGTAACGTTTGTCACCTAAGTGCTTGAGATAATAATTTTCATACAACATTTTTAGAGAAATGGTTATCAGTCCTTCCAACAACCCAAGGAGCTGCTGTCAAACCAAAATATGTGTGACTAAGAAGAACACACTTCCCTTCTAGAGACCCGCAACTTTAATCAATACATTCCTTTGATGGTAACAGATAAACTGGAGTTCTGAGGCTGTGTACTCATTTTTTACTTATAGAGACCCCAGTCTTACTAGTCAGGCAACCTGGGTTCCAGCTGTGACTTGGCAGTATACTTGGCGGTGAGCCAGTCACATACACCTTCAGGATCAATTTCTTTATCTACAAATGGTCATAATGCCACAGACTTCCCAGAAATGGTGAAGGGAACACCCAAAATAATGCGTATGCTAGTAGCAAAGACAGTGGCAGCCAACAGTAGGTGTCCAATGCAGAAACCATTTGTGAAGTTAATAAAGATGAATCTTGCTTTGTTAAGTGAGTGTCTGCCGGAGAAAACCCATAGAACTATTCTTATTATTTACCGTGTTTTTAAAACTCTGGAGGAGCTGGTTTTTAAAGAAAATCTTAGCATTAAGAGAGACTAGTTAACATGCAAACTGGAAAACCATGGCCTTATTTACATATGTATTTGAAAATTAAAGAAGAGGTATAACGATTAACTTTTCTTACAGTAAGACATGCCTATAAAATGACTAATCCTATAGACTTATTTATAAGGCGTAAGTAGCATAACCTGAGGTAAGATTTAATGTAAAATATTTTAAAGTTAACTATAACAGGGATTAGAATGTTGAACACACAAATCAATGGGATTTAGGAAAAAAACTAAAATTCCACTTATCTTTGCACTACCATTTACTGAGACGGATCAGGCCCTCCTACTGAATTTTTAAGTTATGCACGGAATCATCTCTTGATGATATTACATTTCAGGGCATTTATTATCTTAAATATTTTAATTTTCATTTTGTACAAGAGAGGGCACTCTCACGCCTTCTTTTCTTTCTTATCATGCAATGAAAAACAAAGTAATTTCCATCTCTCGAAAGCACTAATTTGGGGGGGGAAAAATCTAAACAAGGAGAATTAGTACCAAGCAAAAGTACACTAATCTCTGAAACTGATTTTGATTTGAAATACTCTTTTTACCCTAATTGCTTCCAAGGATCACAATGTAAGATTACTGCGTTTGAAAAACAAATAGAATATAACAACAAACAATACTGATTTGTTGTTTAAAAGATACTATAATGTTAAAAAAAGACACTAGCATCATTCTTTTATGCAAAATACATAAGAGATAGTAACACGCTCGTGGATCAGCAGAAAAGGAATGAAAGTTTATTATTAAGTCTGACTACAGTCTCGGCCTTTCTGCTTGATACTGCCGTTTCCACCAGGTTCCTGGATGTGTAAAGGGCTGTGTGGGGATCTCTGCACTTCTGCGAACCTTGTGACACCGGCCCCAGTGCAGGGCCAGAGGACCCGCTCGAGCTCCAGCCCAGCGCGTTGCCTGCGCTTGTCGCCGGAAGGAAGGGGCTGTGCCCGGCGCTTGCAGAGAGGAGCTGCTGTGTTCCGACAGAAATGCTCTGTGCTAAATTTAAAACTCCTTTCATGAGACCAGAGAGAGGCTCGCGAGGAACTGCAGTCAGGGCGGGTGAGCGCCAGAAACACCCCCGGCACACAGGCCCTATCGCTGGCCACCCCGTGGTATAAATATAGCTCTGCCATGTCCGACTCGAGAGGGGATGGTCAGAAATGTGTTTCAGCTTTTCAGTTCTGGGCTGCGGGGTTGAGAAAGTTTGGTCTTTCCAGTGAAAATACTGATGCACATCTGCTTCCAATGTATTCTTGATTATTCTTTGTGAACAAAACCAAAGATTCGGTTTCTATTTTGGAAAATGTTAAAGAAAACCTCTGATGGTAATGATCTCCACTCGCAGCGAGCACGCGGCGCTGCTGGGCCCTGCACGGTCACAGCTGCACCCCGACGCCGCCACAGGCCTGTCAACAGCTCGTGGGGCGCGCCAAGGGCTCCCAGCGGTGCAGGCCACACTCTGGCCACACCAGGCAGTGTTGTGGGGACACAACTCACATGGCCGCGGTCAGATGTGGCTTTTGAATTACAGACAGAGTGGGAGAGCTGCTAAGTTCCCCCAAACAAGCAGGGAAATCATTCAACGTAGGACTAATGATCACACACACACGCGCACCCATTATATTCATCAAGAAACGATGAGTTCAAAAATAATACCTTTACCATTACAAATGATTAAAAACTTACATCAAAAATTAATTTTAGAAAACCAGAAAGACTGCATGTTACATGTATTTTGAACCAAAGCCGACAGCTGCCAAAGTATTTATAAACATTCCTTTTTTTTTCCTCTCCACATGGAACAAATTCACTAACCTCAGGCAGCGCTCAGCTCTCCCCAGACCACCGCCTGGGCTCTCTCCCTGCGTCTGACACCTCTGTGGGTAAACAATCAATAGTGACAAGCTAAGATCAGGCTATTGTCACATTGGTTCTTTCCTTTAGAGGCATCTGTGCCCAGATTGAGGATCATGATGGCAATTCCACGTGCTTGCAACAGGGACACATTGTCATACTTGGATGCTCTTAAGTGTCTGACAAAGGCATCTCCAGTGGAAGTGGCGACCAGCACCCGAAGCACGGCCTCTCAATGGCTCGGTCCAGCACCGTGAGCCCAGGGGTGCAAACACGCTCTCAGGCCTGGACGACCTCCTCCCACCCAGGTTCCTTCCCCTCCCGCCCTGAGGTGTCCCTCCGGGGGATCAAGTCAAAACTCGAGGGCTGAGAAGTGCTGCAGCGGAAGCAGCGGGACGCACGGGTCTGTGCAGGAAGTGAGCGACCACAGGAAACAGAAGCCAGGAAGACCCGGGGTGGCCATGGCTTCAACCTGGCTGCACAGACGTGGGAGGAGGGCCAGGCTGGCTCTAGAGCAGTTTCCCGTCCTCAGCGCTGTTAACCTGCCGGGGCAGGGGAGCAGGCAGTCCTGGGCATCAGGTGCGTCCCTGGCCTCTGCCCGCTAGGCGCCAGAAGCAGCCGCTCCCCAAGCTGTGACAACCAAAAATGTCTCTGGGCATTGCCAAGCAGCCCCAGTGGAGGAGGAGCGCTGGGTAGGGGCTGGCACGGCGGCTGGACCATCCCCCGAGGACTGGCGTGGGGCTGCATTGCGAGAGCATCAGATGCAGAGGGACAGGTGGCTCCCCACACCCCCCGCCCCCCGCCCCCGGCTCTGCCTGCTTGTTTCCCAGGTCCCTCATGCTCAGGTTCCCTCTCTGCGGCGTGTGAAAGCTGTATAGGCTGCTCTGTTCGTATTTCCAAGGTTTTCCTACTTGTCATCTTGTGAGAATGCAGAACAGGTGACATTATCTTTTCATTTACGGCTGAGGGGTGGGGTCTCCTGGGCATGGTCCCACCTCTCGTGGACCCCATCACAGCACTTTGCTTCTGAAGGGCCCTCGATAAACCTGAGCTTCGTAAGAACCACTGGCATTTCACAACCATTAATTTCGGTAATGCTATCACCATCCTTCCAAATACTTGAATCTAAACAACCAGCACCATCTTAAACTCCTTCCACGTCCAAGCATCCATTGAAAACAAAACAAAACGAAAACCAAAATCACTGCAGCACTGTGGACTCTTAACTACAACATCATTAAGGCACCAGCCTCCTTTCTGGCCCCAGGACGGGGTGCTGGCCAAACGCTCCTTGCCTCTTGCCCGGGTTCTCCCCCATGCCCCACCCACCTGTCCCTGTCCCTCCAACGCTCCATGCTGTTGCTGGATCCTCTTACAGAACAACAACTCGACCACATCCCTCCTTTGCTTCAGTCCCTGGAGCCTCAAGAACAACGCCCCAACCTCACAGCATGGGTTCTAGGCTCTCCCTGGTCCTGACCCAATCTTCTCACCTTCTCTCTCAGCGCGTCCTCCTACCCTGACAAAGATCTGACCCAGCGCTCACCGGCCACTGATGGGAAAGGCAACCTGCTCCACACTGTGCCCTCCCCATAGAAGACATGTCTATTCCCACCCCATGTCTTCCTATTGCCACCCTATCTTCAAAGCCTATGTCACCGTCACGCACACCTCCTACATGACGTCGGCCCTCCCCTCCCCAGGTAGAACTGGCGATCCCACGTCTGTGTGGCTCTCAGCACACGGCTACTGTGTAAGTCAGCACAGCCCATCTGGCTCCTAGTCCCGGTGTGTAAATCTCTCTACTCTTGTGCAAGTTCCTTAAGAACTCTGTGTGGCTTCCTTCCTCCCCTTCCTTCCTCTTTCCCTTCCTTCCTTTCCCCATGGCGTCAAGCACAGTCCTGCATATTGTAGGTACTCAATAAATGCTTACTAAATTTAATTTAAATCAATTAAGCCAGAAAATATTTCCCTGCTCTTTGGTTTTAGTGACGTATCCTTTCCGGTGACTGGCTTTTGAACAATAGACTGGCATTAGATCATAAATCCTTGGTGAGAAAGATTCATCGAAACCAATCCATTTATATACTGGAAGGATCTCTCCATGCCAGGCTCAATAGATGGTCACCGGACAAGAGACAGGGAGCCTGCCACCTGTGAGGTGGGACACATTTTCATCAGGCAGCTCAGCTGCTTGAAAGGCCGCTCTTATGTCCACCTGAAATCCTTTCCCATCCTTAAAGTGTCCCCCCTCTGGGGCTACACAGCATGACTTCCGCCCCATCAATACGATGGGCCTCCCAAGAGCTGGGGCCAATCGTTACGGCTCCCTACATACTCTGTTCAGCCCCTTCAGCCTTCCCCTGTGAGCCGGATTTCCAGCTCTCCCTCTTCTCGTCCATCCCATCCCACCCTCACGCCCAACCTCTGGATGTCTTCCTGTTGGCCAAGACTCCTCAGACAGGAGCCACATTCAACCAGGCCCAGCCAAGGACTTCATAAAGGAGTGAATACCTTCCCATTCAGCACTCCGAACTTGGATTATGGCCAAATAACACTGAATTCACTTTGTTAACCACAAATCACAATGCTAGATCATACAGTGTTATTCAACAAAACCTTCGGATCTTTTAAAAATACTGTTACGCCAGACCATCCCTAATATGTATGCATGGACATTATGATAAACAGAATAGCAATACTAAACAAAATAAAGACGTGCACAAAGCCCCGAACGCCAGGCTTTTGTAGGTTTCCCTGTATCATTTTACTGTCGATTTTTGAATCATGAATCAATGCGTTCAACAGTCGAGCTGCTTCGCAGTTTTTATCATGTTGAACTTCTCGCAAGTGTGGATTCTGTATCTCTGACCTCATCTCCAGCAGAGACCCAAGCAAAGCCCGGGGTGGGCCTGCACGCGTTCCCCGGGTATGCGTGACTCCGCGGGCTGGAAGGGTGTCTCGTGTGGAAGTGGCTTTCTCTGGTTAGCCTCGCAGAAGCTCTCTAATTAGGTCAGCTCGTCTGATGACATGAATTAAGGCCATCCAGGCTCCACAGATACAATAATTCAATTCAGGACCAACAAGCCCTGACTCTCTAAGCAATAATACAATTTTAGTTCCCCAGCGAATAGGGTGAACAGATAACAACTGGATTATGAGAGTCCTGGGGAAGCGGCAAGGGTGCTCGGAACCGAGTTTGGGGGTAAGATATAAAACCCACCCTCTTTCCAGAGTGTGCTAAATATAAGAAGAAGATGCAGTGGTGCTCGATGAGGTTTTCCAATGGAAAAGTGAAAAGATTAGCAAAATACCAGTCTTGAGTGTCCATAAGAGAAAATACCAGAGGGAAAATCTCCACTAGGAACTTTTAATGTGAAGTGCTTTTTGCCTCTTTGTGAATGAAGAATAATCAAAATTACATTTTGAAAACTTAAGGTCTCTATTAAAATTGGCTAAAAATTATTAAAATTAATGGAAATACTAACAAATTTTAAATGTTCAAGATGAGACCATATTTTGAGAGAGCTTTCATTTCATCATCTTTCCACTGTACTTCACCCTTTTTGGTAGTTTAGGACTAAGTGTCAAATATAACATAAATTAATTAAACACACAAAATTACACAATTTTCATTTTTGTGTTTTAAAACACAAATTAATTTTGTCACGCTTACAAATAAATGCGCCCTTTAAAATGGCTTCATTTTGGGTCTTCATCCACCTCTGTAACCCTCCATGTGCCCTACGCTCATAAGACAGTCATGAGTAATTACTTTCTAGGGAAAAACACCCTACATTCTGCAATTGCTCACATTTAAAAATAGCACTTATTCTCAAACAAGGCATGACAACACAACTATTTCAAAGCAATCTTATTTTTTTTTTAAATTAAAAAATTTTTTTCAAAGCAGTCTTATTTTACATTTAAGTGTGTTGTAATCCCTCCATGGCAGGGAACAAAAATACCAAAATGGAAGTGTCTGCCTGCAACCCTATGGGAACAAAGCTCTCCCTTCCATACGGCAGAAAGGGCCATGGTCATCGTTTAGATCAACTGTGTGACCCAGAAAACAAACACGAGGGCCCGACGAGGTCTACGTCTTCTCTCTGTTGTTCCAAGGACATGCCCTGGTGACCGTTCCAAGGGCGAGGCATTCCACTCACCCTCGGAGAAGCTTGAAGAGCATGCAGCCCAGGGAGAACCAGTCAGCACTGCTGTCGTACGCTGTCCCCTTCTGCAGCACCTCAGGAGCCATGTACCCGTGGGTGCCCCTGGGGAGAAGACAGGATGCACGCGTTATCACAACGTGTCCACCTTCTAAAATATGGACAGCTTATCAAGTGGTTCTGGCATTGTTCATTAAATGGTAAACAAGGCACAGGGGCCACAGAGCCCCCATACAAACATGAGTCATCCAACACCCAATGGGAGAGGTTTTCTGTCTTAATTAGCATAGGAATTAATATTAATAAATTACCATGTCCAATAAATATAAGACCAGCCCACCGTGCAGGAGTGAAATCCGACACTCATTAGTCCCCTGTCCACAACAGTGAGGAGCTCAAGGTCTGCTGCCCAGTCGAGAGCTCTTACGAGGGGCCATGTGGGACTGGGGGACCCGGGGGGACGTGGGAGGGATGACGAACAGGCGACTGCACGGTAGTGCTGGGGCCTCGGAGGGGTGGGGACGTGCACTCCTGTGGGCCCACACTCCTACGTGCTAAGGTAGGGCTACTTCCTTGGAGTCAGACAGAGTCGGATTTTAATTCTGGCCCCACAATGTGCCAGATATGTGACCTTGTTCAAACTACTTAGTTTTCCTGAACCTCTGCTTCCGTATCATAAAAAAAAACAGATGATATCCACGATCTATAGGGTTTCTGTGCAGATAACAACCTATTCACAGCAGCAAGCTGTGCACGCCTAGGACAGCTGATGTTCGCCTTAGGGACCGCAGGGTGCTGTGGCTCCTGGCACTGCCACCCTACATACTGGTCCTTTCCTGGACAGTTCCCTGGGCCGCTAGTTCCAGGTCAGGAATCCTTTCTGTCCTGGTCACCGCTGCACTGCCAGCACCTACCTAGCACATGGCCAATGGTAAATACTTGTTGCATTAATTAGATGACTTCACCCTTACAACGGTCCTGTGAAGTAAATATCATTCATTGTTCTCTCCTCTTTACAGGGGAGAAAAATGAGGCTAGCACATTTATAAGGAGGACTCAAACCCAGATCTGCTGGCTCAAAAGCCTTTGTTCTTAGCCACAGCTTGCCTTCTTCACTTGAGGATGTCATTGGACGTTTAGCCTTTGTAAGTGGTGGCCTCACTATCACCGTGTAAACATGGAATCCAATCCCTTCACAGATGCTGCTCAAACACAGAACAGCCTGACTTTCTGAGCAGGCACGTGAGTTACCTCAAAAGTGGGGGAGGCTCTAAAAGGAAATAAATAACCCATATCTGAAAGTTAATTCCACTGGAAGATTAACTCCTATGAGCTCTTGGGTCCATATGCAGCTGTGACTTCACTAAATTGAAGAAATTAGCATTCCAAATAGCTGGGGCATTAAAAATTCAAATGACTCTTAAAAATGTCTGATGAACTCCCCGGGAGAAGCTCACACAACCCCAGGTTCTGGCCTAATAATTGTAAAGTGCTGTCCAAATGCTAATACTTTTATCACCATATCCCAGATTCTGCAGAAAGAGAGAAGCCTGTTTACAGAAATGATGCTGCTCCCTGTTAATATATGATCACAGCTTTAAGAGGCAGGTCTGACTGAACACAGGCCCTCAGAGCGCATTGCAATTCAGAGCCGTTTTACTTCCAGGCCACAAAAGAAGGGCCTGTGGTTTATTTTCTGCACAGAGAAACGAGCCTCCTGGGAGTTCCTTCATGACCATTCAACACAGAGATGAGTGTTAGCTCAAGAGGGACAATAAAATATAATTTTAAAAGAATGATACATTTAGGGAGAAAATAATATAGCAAAAGTCGCCTGCTTTTTCACAAAGTACACACCTGTCCACACTTGCCACACAGATAAACTGAAAACAAAGAAATTCAAATGAGAACCCGCAGAGATTCCATTCTGTGTCCACACAGCCCTGGGACGTTCCTGCTGTCGTTTTGACAATTCCGGGTTCAAGGGAGTCTTTGGGCCAGTGTCAACACGCTCTAATTGAGCTCGGTCACCGCGGGTCACAGTTCAGGGTCCGCGGAGGGCCAGATGCTGGCGGACGTTCCTCTGCGAGGTCTCTTAGAAGACTAATAAAATTCCCAAACCTAATGATGTGACCCGCGTTAAAAGCTTGAATGGCAGGTAGACGGTTTGTTTTTTTAAATTAAAAATTATTTCTAATTTCTCTTCAGTAAAAGGGGGGGAAAAAAAAGCTATTTTGGAAAGGAAGGAAAGTCGATGGGGAGAGAAATTGACCTCCAGCCATCCTCAGAGAGTTGTATGCACCTGCCTCTGCACTTGGCAACAGACTTCTTCATTTCTCCTCCTCACAGTGTCCAGGGATTTCTTATTACCTCCTCTTTACAGAAGAAGATACCGCGGTCCAACAGGCACAACGCCTGACCCAGGACCCCAGTGCCAGGAGGGATCTCGGCCTGCTGCCAGGGCCCCTCTCTCCCACTGACCGCCCCGTCCCCGCACGGTGACGCGGGGTTATCCATGCTCCGCGGACAGTGGGAGGAATGCGCACGGTTCTCACTTCCTCTCCCACAACATGGGAGACAGGCCCTTCCCTGGCCTGGCTTGATCATAGACTGAAAATCACTCCTGGCAAGAAAAAATTGGGAGGGGGGTGGGAGGGACGCGTGACCAGGTCGGGGTCTGAGTAAATAAACAAGCTGCATTAGAGAAACAAAGTGAATAGAGTCGTCGATGCGCTACTCACACACTCGCATGTGGCTTCTTTTTGGAAAAATCACAGGCAAGACCGAGATCTGATATCCTAACATGTCCGTATTCATCCAAGAGGATATTTGCTGGCTAAAGAGAAAGAGAAGATGATCTTTGAGAGGCCCCCCAAATGCCACGGAGGCTTTGGGAACTTCTAAAACTACAGGCACTTGATATCTTATTATTTTATCACAGTTTCCTGCTAAGCATGAATTCTAGCTTTATGTTACCACAACCAAGCAGGGCACAAATAATATTTCTCACATAAACTTCAGCAGAAGAGTGGCAATGGCAGAAGCAAAGGGTTCTATTGCTCAGAAAATGAAGCACAGGGCGGGTAAGAGGGGAGGGCTGTGACCACAGTTCATCAGAGTCAAAAGCATGTTCTTTTCACAGCGTTCCACCAGGATAGCGTCCCTCTCGACAAAGAGAGGGAGCCACCGGCTTCGTGGCTTCAGGGAACTGTAACAACTTCTGAGAAGGGCCCACAAAGCACAGAACGGAAAAGAATCTTGCAAGGAGGTACCAACCCTGATCCAGGAAATCAAAATATTCGATAGTGCCACACACACTCTCCCGATCAATGTCATTTCTGTGTATCGGGGCGTGATCAACACAGGGCCTTACCAAATGACCAGATACGATTTTGACCACAGCTCTGGTGAAATGTGCCCATTGAGATTAGATTTAGTCAGCATAATCATGAAAAACAAAGCTCCTCTCCCTAATATACATTGAATTACAGTCATGTCATTATTTTTCTGCTGGAGATCAACTATTGTTTTGCTTGAAATAAAAATAATGGGATGCTATTATAGAAATGGAGCATGAATAATCATGAGTGATTAGAATTAAGTTGGAATAGAAATTAAATAATACCACTGCCTACTAAATAGCTTAGAAAACAAAACTACAGCATAAAGATGATTAGAAACCGGTTATAGATTTAAATTAAAATGTATTACAATAGTATTTTATGAGCCTTCAGCATGTATTTTATTCTTCTGCAAAGCCCACATGAGGAAATAAAATGTCACGCGCAACCAGTGTCTAATTATTCCTAATTCGATGAAAACACATTTTTTCCTTCTCTATTCTCATGTGAAAACTACAGGAATAATTCTTTAACTTTGAAGACAGCATTTAAGTTTACAAAGTTTTTCATGAAAAAGGTAATATGCTCAAAAATAAAATACTGTAGCATCTCAAAGGTAACCATAAAAAGCAAATCAAAGCATGCCTGCCCCTTGGAGGAAAGAACGTCATGTGTACGCGTCCGCAGGCTGCCTGTGGTTCGCCTCAGAAGGAGCCTGAGCCAGGAGGCAAACACAGCCTCCCTGGGTGTCGGCAGCCCATCGGGAAACTGTCACTCCTATCATTTTCTTCTCATTGTCATCAACACATTTCTCTATCTGCACAATCGCTTCTATACTGTGCCGTGGCCCCTTCTGCCTCGGTCCCTGTGTGTCCCCAACCCCCCTGCGGCGGGCCCAGGGGGTACCACCGCAGCTCGCCCGCGCTCCCTCGCAAACCCACGCCTGGGGCCAAGCAGCGTGGCCCGGAATGGAAAAACTTGGAATAGGCTCATTTTACCTTTTCAGCTCCAGTGAGATTTTCAAAATTCATTTATTTATGTATTTCATTCCCCTCTATGCATCCCCCAATTTAGCAACCATCAGCTTGTTCTTCTGTATCTATGGGTCTGTTTCTGTTTATTCATTTGTTTTGTTTGTTTGTTTGTTTAGATTCCATGTATAAATGAAATCCTTCTATGTTTGTCTTTCTCTCAGTGACTTCACTTAACACTCCCCGGGTCCATCCATGTTGGCGCAAATGGTGAGATTTCATTCTTTGTTACTTTATTTTCTATTTATTATATTTTTTTAATTTACTTGCTTCAAAGTCCAGTGAGATTTTACAGAAAACAAGAACAGAAGCCCAAGCATAGTGTATTGGGGTTATGGAGCTCTGGGATCTAAAAATCGATCTGTTCATGGTTTTTAAGGTGATCTTGAAACGAAGCGCGGCTCTGACCCTGGTGGGGGCGGAAGGGAGGGGGCACGTTCTGCAGGCCACCGCCTCCCACACAGAGGCTGGGACTCAGCCACTCTGTTGTCTTGGTTCCCCAGTGTGAGTCCCATGAAGCGCATGTTCTCTGCTCCTTATCTCTGCACATCCCCAGTTCTAACCCAGGCGCGGGACGAAATCAGTTGCTTAGTGAACATTAACTGAGTTACAATTAACTGGAAAATGAACACCACCAAAAAAACTCTCCTACCCTGCTTTTCCTGAATTAACCAATTAAAATTTCTGAATGAGTGTATGGGCTGCCCGGGCATAGTAGCCAGCACTGAGGTGACAGGGACGAGTAGGTCAGAGTTTAGAGTCTGGAAGAGACCGGCACCACATAGATGGCAGCCGCTTTGGGGGGAAAGCGTCAGGCTACAAGGAGAGCGCAGGGGGTGCCTGAAGGCGTGGCCACACTCCCCCTGGCAGACCCAGAAAACAGTGAGTCTGCCCCACAGCCTTACCTTCAGATCTCTGTACACAACAAAACGATTGTGCATGTGTTCCAGCCCCAGGATGATCTCGGTGGCGTAGAAGCGCATCTCCTTCTCAGAGAACACCCCGTGTTGCGAAAGGTGATAGTGCAAGTCGCCCCCTGGAATCGGAGACACAGAATTTAATTCAAAAAGCACTGCCATCCTAAATAGCTAGGACGTAAAAAAAATTCCTCTCTGTCTCTATGCCTATCTTTGGTTTCTGCAGTTTGACGAAACACATTAAAAATTAAAGAGAAACTTAAACACTGAGAAGACTTAAATGCAGCGATGGCTGGGACAATATAGAACAAAGTCATTGTATTCAGACTGGTAGCACGGCTCCCAGAAATGCCCTCAGGTAGGAGTAGCTCTCCTACTTGGATTATTTAAATCCTATCTAATAACTGAATCAACCTGTATGTAGCCATCCAATAGCTATCTTAGCAATGGGCTCTATGAACAAAAAATAAACAAACTGGTCATATTGATAGATATTTCATAAAGCAAATACAGTAAGTTTTAAATTTATTTTTCAATTATAGTTGACATGATATTATATTAGTTTCAAGTATATAACATAGTGGTTAGACATTTATGTAACTTACAAAGTGATCATCTTGATAAATCTAACACTCATCTGACACAATACATAGTTATTACAATATTACTGATTATACTTCCTATGCCATACTTTACATCCCCGTGACTGTTTCCATTACTGGCAATTTGTTAATTTGTGCACCTTTTTCACCCTTCCCTCCTCCCATCTGGCGACCAGAGTTTCTGTTTTGTTTGTTCATTTTGCTTTTTAGATTCCACATGTAAGTGAAATCACATGGTATTTGTCTTTCTCAACTTATTCCAGTGAGCAAAATACCCTCTAGGTCCATCCAAGTTATCACAGATGGTAAGGTTTCATTCTTTTATATGGCCAAGTAACATTCAATTGTATTTATGTACCACGTCTTCCTTATCCATTTGTCTACTGATGGACACTTAGGAGCTTCCATATCTAGACTACTGTAAATAAATACAGTAAAAACCTTTAACTGGTAAAATCCAGATTGGGAGTATTCGAGTGTCCCCAGGAAAGTTCTTTCAACTTTGTTACATGTATGAAATTTTTTATAATAAAATGTTGGAAAAAGCAAATAATCACATGGCCTAAAGTTACAAAGTCAGAAAACGCCACTAACTGGGTAAGAGAATGTTTTTAGAAACTGTAAGGGAAAAGCTTCTGTGAATCTATAAAAGGTACTGTGTGTCCAACGTTACCGCCCTGGCCTTTGTCAGTACTCTGTCTTCCCTTTCACATACACGTATTCCTGTGCAACCAACAGCGCCGGGGGAGGATGAAGAGATCTATCTCTAGCAGCCCCGAAGGCTCCCACATGCCCCTCCCAGTGGGTGCCGAAGCCCCAGCCCCCTCTTAGGCAAAGGGAACACCAGGCTGACGTCTCTCACCATCGACTGGTTTTGCCTGTCCTGACAGTCACATGAATAGCATCATATAGAATACATGCTGCTGTGTGTCTAGCTTCTTTTGTTCTTTAGTATGTCTGTGAAATTCCTTTATGCTGTTGGACAGATCTAGTCTTAAAGACCCAAAACGTAATAAAACTTCACATGAACTTCAAAAAAGGAACTTCACTTGTTGAACTGCATGCCTTTTTATTTCAGCTCGTTACTAAAAATACTTTCAGTATATACAATGTCACTTTCTAGTAGTAGAAGCTTTCGAACTAACACTTTCTTGGCATCCTAAGGGTTATCATTCATTCATAGTTTAAAAGATGAGTGGTGTATAGTTGATCTGGACTAAAGGTACAGAAAATTGGGCTAAAATCCTTCATAGTTGGTTTTTAAATACATTTAACTTACATTCTTATGAGACATTTCATTCCTAAAAGTTTGAGGGTGAGAAAACAAGCTAATTACAGATCTGGGCCAGCTGTATTCCAGAAAATCAAGTTTCACTGTATGCATTTTATGAAAATCTTTCCTAGAAAATGCCACGTCCTGGGGAAAGACTGGGAGGGCCAGGGCAATCCATGGCCAACATTTTAAAATGAATTTTAACTAAAAATCAGAGAGTCAATCGTTTCCTCAAATCTTCAGGAAGAAACTAATCGTCCAAAGGGCCCCAAGAGCCTGCGCTGCCAGCCACGGTTTGGCGCCACAGCAGGGCCCCTCGGTGCACTTACCGTTCATCAGGTCCAAGATGAAGCAGAGTTTATCTGGCGTATGGAAGGCGTAGGTCATACAGACAATGAAAGGACAATCCTAGAGTGAGAGGAAACAAAAAGGGGTAAGAAAAGCAAACGCTTCCCTGAAAAGCACATCTACCACCAAACGTCATCGACGAAGCTGCTGCACCCACGCCACCGCCCTGTCATTGAGCACAGACCCCTGCGCGGTGACTTTAACAGGCACGGCGCAATGAGTCTGGCTCCAGGAGAGAACGCACAGAGTCACAGCATCGCGGGACGGGGCAGATGAACTTGAAGGTCCTCTCTCACCGCACTCAGTCATGACTCTTCTATCTACAACTTCAGAAGACTCAGATTCTACAGACAAGTATTACTGCCTCACTAGTCTTTTTTTGGTCTGCAGTTTGGTTTTGGTAGGTCAGATTTCCATTTCAGTCTTCGCTTCTAAAGCTGGAACAACCATACCACAGGGGGTGAGGTGTTATCTGTGTTATTGCCTTGAAACACTGAGAACAAAAGTAAAATTAAATTAGCTTTTGAAAGTGAAAAAAAATATACCAGGGTCAGGGACTGAATAACTCAGTTGTATCTATGTCAATTTTCCCCAAATTAATCTACAGATTCCATGCAATCTTAATTCAAATGGAAATTGACAAACTGATTCTAAAATTTATGTGGTAATGGAGACAGAAAAACAAAGCTGGAAAACTCACAGTGCTAGGAAACAAGGCTTATTACAAAGCAACAGTAATTCAGAAAGCGTGGTATGAAACCAAGGACACACAAACAGGCAATGGAATAGAACAGAGGATCCTGAAATAGACCCACACATAAATGGTCATTTGTGATAAAGTGACACAACAGGGGACAGGGAAAGATGACCTTTTCCATCAGTGGTGCTGCAACTGGATTTCTGTGCAATGAAATGGGATCACCACTACCTCACCGCACCTGACGCCTACTCTAGGTAGATACAGGTTTACAGGTAAAACAATAAAGCTTCTAGAAGAAAACAAGAGAGTATCTTCATGACCTTAGGTTAAGTAACGACGTCTTCAATGGGCCACAAAAAAGCACTAACAAGAAAACATTGATAAACTGGACCAAAACCAAACGGAGAACTTCCGTTCTTCAGAAGACACTGTTAAGAGAGTAAAAAGGCAAGTCACAGAATGGGAGAAAATATGTGTAATCCATAAACTCAATAAGGACTCTTATTTAGAATATATAGAGAATGCCTATCAATCAACAAAGAAAAAAAGCAATCAACCCAACACAAAAATGGCAAATAATAATAATAGTAACTACATGGGCATTTTACATAAGAGGCTAGCAAATGGCCCACAGGCTTATGAACAGAAGCTAATAACCTCAGCTGTCCCCAAAGAAATAAATGCAAATTAAAAATCACAATGTGCCATCACATGAACGCACAAGCACTGACTCAAATTAAAAAGCCTGGCAATGCCAAGTGTCGGAAAGGTACGGACTAAATGGAGTCCTACATGGCTGCTAGTGGACAGCGGAACACCACCTCTTTCACAAGCTGGTGGCCCGTGTCTGCCACAGCTGAGCGCCGCCTGCAAACTCTGTGACCAGCACCTCCACCCCAGGCCGTCCACCGCACGGGCACGGCGCTCACGCGCACCCAAGGGCTGCACGGGACCGTTCCTCACAACACTACTCAGAACAGCCCGAACCAGATCTCCCAAATGCCAACCACGTTGGCACGGATACCCGGACTGTGGTTTGCTTAAGCAGTGGAATGCCAGAGAACAAGGGTCAGCACGGTTTTTCTACAGAGGGCCAGAGAATAAATATTTTAGGCTCTTCAGGCCCCCTACAGTCCCTGTCATACATTCTTTGCTTATTTCCTCTATAATCCTTTAAAAACATCAGCACCATTCTTAGTTCATGGGCTGTACAAAATAAGGCCACAAGCCGGTCTTATTTTGTCCACAGGTCTATACATAGCTTGCTGACCCCTGTATTTAGCCACAGAATGCACTATGGCCATGCGCAATGACACAGATGAGTGCCACAAGCAACACTGAGTGGAGGAGCCAGACGCAAAAAAGAACATTTATATAAAGCTCAAACATGGGCAAAGCTGGACGGCGGTGTTGGAAAGCAGGGTGGCAGTTAGTTTGGGCGTAGGGCAGGCGGCTGAAGGGCTGTACACGGAGACTCCCGGGACTCTGGGACCTTTCTACCCCGTGATCTGCTGCTGGATACACACACGCAGGGGTCCCCTTGTGAAAGCTCATCAGTGCCATGTGAGACCTACACCGAGGTCTGTTTAGATTCTTTATGTACAGTGAATACTTGCTGCTCAACTGATCCAAAAAAAAAAAAAAAAAAAAATGGCCTAGAGGATCTACATCCACTTCTGTAATAGTAATAACCTGTAAACAGAATTCACAATGTTCAAACCTCTTGTATTAAGGACATTCAGGTAAATTTGAGTTCACAGATTCCTAAAGGCTACTGATTCATAAACCCGAACTCAGCCTCCACAAATCTTCTGGAGGAAATTACTTCAGAATGAATTTCAAAATTCATTTTGTGGTTACCTAGTGTCCCTTAGAGTTCTACTGAGACACTATTAGTGCTTCCTGATTTCAAAATCGGGGCCTTGTTTTAAATCTTTACTGTAATTTTTTTCCCATTACCATTTAGTCCCTTACACCTCCCTCCCCCCAGCAACCACCACACTGTTGTCCACGTCCTTGAGTCCTTTTTCCTTTTTGGCTCAACCCCTCCCCCCCAACCTCCCCCACCCCACTAGCTGTCATCTGCTCTCCATCTATGAGTCTTCAAAACCTATTTTGTTTTGAATAGGAAAATAAAGATACTATCATTTTTTCGTTAAAAACCATGTGACCCTTGGGTGGACCCTTGGGCACCATCCCACTTGGAGCCCACCCGCATTTCACTCATTCTGCTCCTTCCTACATGGGGCTTCCCACATATTCTAGTTTTTGATCTGATGAGCAATTCATCTGCAGGACAGAGAAGTGGGTGGACCCAGAACTTAGTAAAGCCACGGTCTTTCCTAGCTTGAGACAGCACCTGCACTCACTTCACCGAGGGGACACGGAACCCCTGCCCGGAGGTGTTTCCGAACACGACAGCACACGACCTTTTTAATGACAGCACTGAGAAAACGTCCAAAGGTTACAGTATACTTAAGAAATTATGCTATTAAGGAGGGGCGTGAACTGTAGATTTAGAATCAAAGGCTATCTGAATAGAAAGGGCCCTTTAAAAAAAAACAAACTAACTACCTGGCTCAACTTCTTTATTTTAAAGATAAGGAAACTAAAACCTCCCAAAAGGGAAATGACTTGTCTGAGGTCACAAAGAAACTCGGTGGCTGGCGAGCATGCAAACCCCAAGCCTCTGGATCCTCTCCAGAGTTCTTCTACGCCAGGCTGCATCTAGAAGCAAGATTGCCACAGCGATGCAAAATCAAACCTTGGCTAAAGGAAGGTGATGTGGCTTCCTCTCCAGAACTCCCCGACTGCCGTGCTGCCTCTCAGGGGCTCGGCAGACACCACAGGGCGTCCCCTGTGGACTCCGGGGCACAAAGAACCAAATCCCAACCAACAAGAACAAACAGGCAGCATGTGAATGAGTGGCGCTGACACAGTTCCAAAGACAGTTACCGTGAAGGTGCTCTGCCTTGCTTACAAATAAAGGTCAGTAAGAACTGGTGAATTTTTAGGGGTACGTCCTTAAATAAAGTTCCTCTGCAAAGAACTGTCTTTGATTTCCTACTGGGACAGAGCAAAATGGCTTGCATTTTGCAGCAACTCTGTATAAATCTGTGATCAGACCGACCGTGAAGGGTTTCCATGAGAAACTTCTCCATTTTGCAGTCAGAGGGGTCTCCTCAATCGGCGAGGCTTATCATGCTACCTTCCCCCCAACACACGCTGTTTTCAACTGCTGCCAGGTTTTTAAATCCTCAGTGTTGGCCCAGAGAGCTCCGCACGGTGTGGTCCGGCCTGGCCTGTGTCCGCTTCTCTCTCCAGCTTCATCTTGCGCTGCTCACCCCATCGCGTCTGACCCCAGCCCTGCGGCCTTCTCTCAGGTCCCCAAACGCTCTGCGCTCAGGACCAGACACGCGCTGGCACCTGCTGTGACTTCACAGGAGCGCTCGGGATCACAGAGCACAACATCTCTGCCCTGGTAAGTGCCTTCCCAGCACTGCGTGCCCACCTTCCACAGCTCTTGCTGTGTGTTCCAATTACGTATACACTTCTGAGACGATCTGAATACTATCACCTGCTCTTATTCTATGTGCAGCTGGGCAAGAGCAAGGAGCAAAGGCAAGTCGTGGGACCCCCACCACACAGCACAGTGTCTGGCACGGTCAAGGCCCTCGACTGTGCTTCAAGGCACAACCGACCCCTACGGGACTTAGGCAGAGAAGGTGCCAACTGCCCTCCCCAGCCACGGCCACACTTACTCCGCTCCTCAAACGGGAGTGTCGTTGTTACTACGCACGAATTACAGGATGAAACTGGCAAACGCACTTCCTGCTGCCTCTTTGAGGGATGAGGCATGAAACATTCCATGTGAGATTGAAAGGGAAAAAAAACAAAACAAAACACTTCCAGTAGGAAAAAAACCAAACAAACCAAAACCCCTATGATGACTGACTGCAGTTTAGAATCATAGCTGTACCCCGGCACATCATGTGGATAAAGGCTGATTTAAAGTTTAGCCTCCTGAGGCAATCTTAAGCTGAAGATTACTAAAAACCTATAAAAAGTAGCCTCTGATTAGCAAAAACAATGCCAAATGATTTTATTACAACTCTTTTGGTTAAATTTTATATGTGAAATAAAAATAAAGTTTTGGTATTTGAATAAAAATATAAATGATTCCTTTAAATTAGTTCAAAGCAGCAGACCAATAGAACCCCAGCTTTTCATTTATCCCCTGAGGGGGGAGACTGGTGAGGAACTGTACAGCTACTTAACCACATTCCCCCTTAGCTGAATAAATGTCAAATCGCTACACAAAAATTGTATGAATATTCTGCCAACACCAACAACTGTTTTCCACAGGCCTTCTTGAGAATGAATATCCAAGGCTTTGAGATAACGCATTAAAAATTAACACTTTCATAATCACTGACACTCTGCAGTAGGCGCACTTCCCTGTGTGAAATTTAAGACAAAGGCATTTCCAGTAGAAATCAGAAGCTGGTACCATGCGCGCTGATTTCACTCCAGGGAGCAGGCTGCTCAGTTTCCACTCTCATTAGCTGGAAACTTGGTCGTGCGCACAGGCCAGTAACTCTTATCTGAAGTGCTTAGTGTCCACATGCTGGGAGGCAGAGGCGCGTAACTAGGAATTATTTATAGCTATGGAATTTCCACTTGTTAGAGTCGAGCTAAATTATGACATTCTTTTGCTTCAATAGCAGATAGCCCTTCTAGAACCATTAAAACTAATGCTAGAATAACATTAACCGCAATGCAATAAGCCTAGGTGATAGACCAGAAACACGGGGCCCATAAAGGAATGGCGAGAAAGGAACCAGGGGAGCGCGCCAGGGAAGCCAGAGACTCCGGGGAAGGAAACAAACCTCCTGGGGCCCCGGCTCCTTGCCTGTTCAACGGAAGAGACTCTTTGATTCGCCATTAAGGCTTGATTGTTTCAAACCCTTTGGGTGAAGATGGCCTTATTTAGAGCCCTGCCATGATACGTGGAGGTCGCCCCCCCCCTCCCCCGCCCCCACCACCACACGACTCACTGCATATAAACCTTTGCGGCCTGGTGTCTGACGTTAAATTCACATGTGAGCTGCACAGCCTGGGTCTGGCCGCTCCAGGCCCACCGCTTCCCTTGCCCCCTCGCCCCCGACTCCCTGACCTCCCCGAACACGGGTGCCAGGCCTGCAGGTGCCCACAGGCACGCCCCGGTTTCCGGGACCGTGCGTTTTTCTGGATGTGTCTTTACATACATCTATCAAAATAAAGAAAAGCCAAGGCTTTCATCGTGGGAACACCATTAACAGAAAGAAAAAAAAAAAACCAGGATGGAACACTTTTTTGCAAGGAGATACCGGGTCAAAGCGTGTTTCTACACATGCTGAGCTAAACACACTGGCTTGATGTACAAATAAAATGTCCAACAGGCAGGCGGGCAGTCCTGGAAATGGAAAGGACCAAAGTCCACAGCAGGTAAAAAGTGGCGAGTGCTGAGAAGATAAGGTCACCTTCAAAGAAACACTGACTGGAGACAATGGCACAGGGACGGTTCTGGGTTGAGCAACCGCCGTCACTTCCTCCGTGTGCGTGAAGGATGCCGGCGACATCCCCTTACTTCTCCCTGGGGTTAGTGCTTCCCAGCCACGCAGTCGGTTCTTCACTGTACCTGCTGTTGTTACGATTACTTCCCTGCCTTTTCTCCAACCATCTTTCACAAAGAAGTTAATCATAAATAAGCACTAAAGGGCAAAGTCATGGGTGTTCATAGTGATGGTTATAGTACTTTCCTATCTCCAAAATTAAGCAGAGATAATGTCCAAACTGTACACAATATTATCTCAGTGCTACTGTTCCTTGCTATAAATTCTAACCCACCCAAGGACTGGCAAGCCCCCAAGTCACAAGAAAATGTCTGCATTTTAAATACATTGTCCTGATATCAAACAAACAAGGAAATTAAAAAAAAAAAAAAAGGGCAATGTTCGAAATTCAATACTTACTCCTGTACTGACAAGCGACAACATAATCCTTTCATTTAAGGCTAATGTTTCTCCTTGTTTCATCTTGATCCTCTTTTTATCTAAGCATTTCATTGCATACCTAGAAACAAACATTATTGAAAAATCAACACTGGAAATATACCTAGACTGATTTAAACAAGATATATCATACTGGGGAAAGTTTCTAAAGACTTGGGCAGTGTTTAAAAGAAGCCAATTGGCACCAAAGTGTCATGCAAAAATTTTATTAAATGTATTAAGGAAAAAAAAATCAACTTCCCTCCCCGCAACGGGGCACATAACCACCACTCCTCAGGCAGGGGCTGTGTAAATACCTCAACAAGCTGCCACGATGAAGTAAAACTGGTAAGTTTAGTGAAATGTAGTAAAGGACAAATACATCATTTGGGATCAAACGGCCCATGGGGGTGAGCTCAGATGCAGGAAGAACGTTTTCCTAATAGGACTCTGTTTTTACCATGTATTATCACATTCAATTCTCACAATAAGGCAGGTACTTTTTAAAAAAATCTCTGCTTCACAAACTAGAATAGGAAGGCTCCAAGGGGCACACACTTTGCCTGAGCCAGAAAGAAAGTGAGGAAGCTGATCTAGCCGTGTGACACGGGGGGCCCACACTCCGGATGCCTACGCTACCCCGTCACGCCGGACCCCAGCCTTCAGACACCTGGGTGCCAGGCATTGGGCTCACCCTGCACAGTGTCCCAGAACAGAAAGAAGAGCAATGGGCACAAATCAGTGAAGGTAGATTTCAGCCCCCACATAATAAGAAACATGCCAACTACTGGGCCAGGACAGACTCGGGCACAGGCTGCGTGGCAACCCTACAGGCGATGCTGGGGCGGCAGCAGGGCTGGCAGGCGCTGAGTTAGGTGACCGTGATGACTCCCTCTCACACCAACTCGGTGGTTTTATAACCCGATCTCACAGACTGTCCCACCTTGCCCACTGCTCTGTCATGTCTGTCACTTAGCCAAACGTGTGGGTCTGGGTCTAACAAATCATACGTTTCCATCTTCTTTTGTCTTCAGAAATACGTTCACTTAAACTGTTTCTATATTAACAGAAATTTTCCCCACACTTCAGAACCCCACCATTTACTTCCTACAAGACCCTAACGCCGAGCTCACGTGCACTTGCCTCACATCAACCGCCGTGAGTCAAGTGGCAGGTATGTGATAGAGCCCATGATCCTGACCCCTGCAGCAGGGCATCTGCCCCCCGAACCAGCACCCAGCTGCTCACCTGTGAGAGCCACGCCCCCTGGAACGCTCCAAACTGCACATGCCAAATCACAGGTGGCTTATTATTTAGAAGAGAGTGTCTACTTCTTTCTGAGCTACGTAACTTTGAGAGCAAGGTCCTGGGCTTCCAAAAATCTATGCAGGGATTTTCTTTGGATCCAAGCATAAAATCCTCTTAGTAGTCCCAGAAAAATGCCTAAGTATCGAAAACTCACATTTTCCCAGTGTCTGCTTTCCTGCAGCCGTACACTTCGCCAAAGCCTCCCCGTCCAATGATCCTGTGTACGCTGAAATCGTTCATGGTCAACTGGGAATTCAAAATACAAAATGGAAACATACAACTGCATGAAAATTATGTTGTAAAGATTTTTTTACCCGCGCGAAACATACACAAGTTATTGGAACGGCAGCTCTGACGGAGGGAGCTGCCGCTTCCTGGACTGACCCCTGACCCAGAGAGAGGCGCTACACACGGCGGCCAGATCCTCCAGACCCCCCTCCTGCTCCACCCCCCAAAACGTACAACACGGAGGCACATGGGAAGATAACAAAGTGGGAGCCATGTTTGATTGCTTTTCCAATCTCATAAATCTCAGACGACAAGGCACATCCCTTGAAGACAAGTGACTGTGAAATTTCCAGTCAAAATGAAAAGCAACTTCAGCTACTCTGGAGCCTCCAGTCTGGAAACAACTCAGCACTTCCAGGACCTGACGTGGCGGAAAAATCAGTCCACGGCGAGGGCCTCTGTGTCTTCCTCACAGGGAGCCATATGATCAGAACACCCAACAGATGCTGGCCATGTGAATTTTTAATCGATAACATCAGTGAATAGAGAGGACTCGTGCTGGGCATGTGAGCATGAAACAAGGCTAAGTGTGAGCACAGGACATAAAGAGCCTTTATTCATAAGCACTTTCCTCTTGTTAATACTAGCTCAGTAAGGCCCTGCTGCATACAGAGTTTTAATAGCGCTAGACGGTGCAGAGGCAGATAGACAATCCTACGGTAACGGGAAGAGGCCGTTGGACAACAGCAAATGCCTACTCGTTTACACACCCTGGCAATGAAGGGTCAGATTTCTGAAGGTTCTCTCTTAAGCACCCCTTAAAACTTCATGCCTGCAGCGGGGTAGGGGCATCCAGCCCACGGGCTTCACGCGTGGTGCTGAGAGGACATAGGACATGAGGACATCGGGTATGGGCATGAGGAAGGTCGACGGCAGACAAAAGGGATTTTTTCAAAATGTGTGCTATTGCCTCTCGCCAGGCAATGTGATGGAAAGGGGAGCTTAAAAAAATAGATCAACAAAAACCAACTCCTCTTCCAACAGGACCATTTAAGTAAAAAACTGGAAAAAAAAAAAAAAAAGAATCCAGTTGATAACTTATTTTTCCCAATTGCAAGCCTCTGTGGAGGGAGAGCAGGAGGGAGCAGGTCGGAGAGGCCCTACAAAGAAATGCACGTTCTAAACGCGAAGCAGAGAGAGCAAGCCTGTGGCCTGGAATTACTGACGCCAAAACAAGATGCAGCACCAGGGAAACACAGGCTGGAAGGCCGCCAGGGTTTGAGGGCTGCTTTTAGCATTCTTGAAACAAAAAGAATATGAAACTTTGGTCTAAAAAAAGATGTCATCATTTTTATTACATGAGTACACCTACTAATAAGGAAAAGAAAAAGAAATTTACCAGGATGGCAAAAGACAAAGGCATGCGGGAATTATGTTATGGAGACTTGAATTTCACTACTATTTCTGTTACAGGGTCAACGACTGCTTAAAATATCCTTTCTTAAATCAATAAACACATTCCTATAGGAATACGAAAAAAGAGAATTAAAATTCAACTTGTTTACAGCTGGGGACGGGGGGATGGCTCTTCTGTACGAAAGGCCGTGAGCACATCTGCTCCGGCAGCCTGTCACCCTGGGGAGAAGGCTCCAGAACCAAGTATTTTCTCACGCAGCGAAGCCAGAGGGAGGTTTTTATTTAAAAAAAGAAAAAAAGAAAGGAAAAGATGATACTCACATGGATGTTTAATTCTACGTTTTTCCACTGACAAAATCTAGTGAACTTGTCACTAAAAAAGAACAGAAATGATTACTGAAGAGTTAAATATCAAATTAACTGGATCTAGAGGATAATGCTTTAAGACGAGCTGGAATCGCATTTCTTGTTTTCCTTCTTCTATAGAGAAATAGAGTTAAATATTTTTTCACGTTTTGGCTTTATTTTAGGATTCAAATGAAAGGTACTGTGTTTCTTCTTTACCTGTCATGTGCTACTGGGGATCTCGCTCTTAATCAGCAACGTTCAACTTAAGGACAACACAAGCCTCGTATGTGATTTAATTTTAATAATATATTTGATTTCACTCCAATAGATCAAAACTTATCATTTCATCATATGTCATCAATATGAAGTTATTAATGAGGAATTCTACATTCTTGTTTTTCTAGAAGCCTTTGGAACCTGGTGTGCATTTGCACTTACTGCCCATGTTAATTCAGACCAATCACAGTTCCAGTGCTCAGCAGCCACCTACGGCTACAGTCCGGGACCATGCCGCGCTAAATGACCAAAAAATAAAATTAATGTTTACCAATAAGAGTGGCAAACGCTCCAATGTCTCAGGCTCTACAGGCTCACTTACTCAACCCAGCAACTCTACAGGCAGGTACTGTCGATTCCCATTTTACAGCCGAGACCAGGGCTGGCCCGAGGTCACCCAGTACGAACGGGTGGAAAAGAACCTGCACCCAGACCAAGTCCTGCCTCCAAAGATACAAACAGTGTAGGAGGGGAACCCTCGGACTAGGATCAGAACACTCATACTGCAGTGAGGTGCTACACTCTCAGCGGGCTCAGCTGTCTGGCAAGTGTTCTTTCATCCATAAAGTAAGAAAGATATCTATTTAATAAATACATTCTTTTGATTACTTTTTAATTAACGTTCTTATAAAATACGAGTAGAGGTATTATCAGCATTACAATAAAACGCCCTAAGGCATCCAAATCTCTCAGTTTCCTGGGAACTTTATCTAACACGCATTCTAAGGATCTCTTAAAAATATTTCTGAGGCTAATAATCACATTGAAAATCAAAAGTGGAAGAACTCTTTGTAATTACATAGTATCTTTTTCCACTGAATCCAAAATAACTTCTAACCAGTGTTTCCTTGATCCTCCTAACATCTCTGTGAGGGTGGTACAATAAAATTGTATTTTGAGATTTCATACAGTTTTTTAAGTATGGTGAGAGCAAAAGGCAAAGCCGCACCGAGCATACCCTGTAGTGATGGCCCGCGGGCTGCTCCGAGCCTGCGTGGTGTGCCGGGCCAGCCCGTCCTCTTTTCTCACCCTGCACGCCAGGCTGGCACCAGGGGGTGGTGCTGGCTTCACCAACTAGCTGCGGAGAGTTAACAGCCAGGGAAAGGGAAGTGCCCAGCTGGCCAAGAGGAGCGTGGGGAGGGGTGGGACATGGAGAGTACGCGGTTTCACCTCCAACGCCCCCCTGGGAGTGAGGCTGCTGAGCAGAGGACGCCCGCTGCCGGAGCACGGCCGCAGCCTCTGGCCCAGAAAAGGGAAGGCCTCCCCACGGGTCCTGTCCGCCTGCCTGGAGCCCTGCCTGGAACGTGGCCCTGGGTCCGTGCTGGGCCTCGGCGGGAGGCGAGAAGAGGAGCCCTCGCACTGCGCAAGACTTCCCCTTTATTGTCGCGCCGCGCTGTGGCCTGAGCCGGGGCCCCCACGGAGTGTGGCCGATCCCGAGGACAGTAAGGCTACAAGGCTCTATTTATGGAATGTCTGTGCTTTTCAAAGCCCAGGCTCCAAACTCTCAGTCTGACAACAGGTTTTTTTAATACTAATCTGAGAATGTATTGACCTAAAAAAGCACCCCAAAAGGTATACAAATGAACAAACTGACTCTCAAAATAATCTGTTATATAAAATAGCTTCGCTCGTACTTCCTGTCACAGTAACTGGCTCAATGGGTAGGAGAAAATGACCACGCAGGCCAAGCCTCCTCCCCAATTTAAATTGCCATCCCCACCTCTCCCCTGTCCCCAAGGTTCACGAAAATGCTGGGTTGACCCAGACTTGGGAAAGGTCAGATTTGAGAGCCAACAGCAACGGAGTCAGCCCTGAGCCAGCAACCCATCCCCTCCGTGGACTCTGCTGCTTCTTGGCCCAGTTTCCACTCCCGCTCCAAAACGTGTAATCATTTGTGTGCATATTAGTTTCCCAAGTACTGACTCGCTCCAGGATAAAATTATCTCTTGAACTCTAGTAGAACCACAACACAAGTTTGTTTTTCTCTAAATCAGTTGAGAACATGTAGAGGGGGAAAAAAAAATCTGTGATGAAGCAGCATTTGTTCTTAAAGGGCAATTACGGACCAGCTGCAAGCAGCTCCAGCAAGGAGCCGCCACAATCATCCTGTCGATTGTCGAGAACGCAGCCGGGTTTGCGGAGAAAAGCGCAGTCAGGGTGCATGCAGATTGGGTTTTAAAAAGTGCGTTCTCACAGGCCAGTACTCCCAACGGGGAAGCTGACTGCTGGCATCTGAAACGCAGATGAGCTGAACGCTTTTATAAGTAGATGTCACTGAAGTGTTTCAGAGTTTTCATCACTAACATACTCCTCTATAGCTTGAGTAATCCAAAGGGGCAATATTCATTAGGTATATTAATGATATTTAGGATCACAGATATACATGTGCCTCTACCCTTCAAATTCTACGAAAATCAAGCACACAGGCTTGTCCGACTTTGAGGGACATGATTTCAAAGGCCAAACAAATTAGATGAATTATAGAGTTGTGCTTGCATTAGTAAAGGTGTCCCAGTGAGATACTTTTAATATTGAGGTTCCCTAGCCTGTTCAAATTTTAGACGATTTTGAAGCTAAAGAACTAAAAAGTCAAAGGGACTATGCAAATCAAAATTATACTGTGACGTATAGAGGAAATAGGCTTACACAAAGCCTAGCACACAGCACATGGTCAATAAATACCTGGTACATGAATAAATTAGTACACATTTTAAGGACAGCATTTATTGCGTTAAATGAGGTACACCTACACAGTACAAGATTTTATATATATACTAATACTGTGATATAATGTTACGTCAAATGTATCTCAATAAAAAAAAATTTTATATATATATAAAAGTTTCGTACCTTTCCATAAATTTTTGGAAGATGTTGCCTCGAAGACTTTCACAAATTTCTTCTATGTATGGCTGGAAAGGAGAGAAAAGAAATTGCACACTGCATAACAAAAAACGTATTAAAGTTAAAAACTAGCGGAGAAGACTCCGTCAAGGTGAGGTTCTGAGTCACGTGTCCCTCCCACAGACTCTTGTACTTGCCCTTCTCAGCACCTGTCCAACTGCCATTAGTGGATTCGTCATCAAGATTATTTATTTAATAGGTATCTACACCACGTGATGGCACATTCCTTGAAGGCAAGGACAGCTCTGCCCTGTTTGTCATTATAACCCTGCTGCCCAGCACGGCACACCGCAAGTCACAGCCACGTTCCAAATGACCGGGGCGCTAGCTTGCAGGGCTGCCTGTGCAGGTCCACAGGGCTCACACCGAGTGCACGCTGCACTTGGTTTAGTGACTTGCTGTCACCATTGCACAATGCTTAGTAAGTTCTGAACAAGGGGTCCTTTTAATTCTCTACTAGGCCCTGTAACTTATGTGGCATATTGTGTAAATTACTATTAATTGTGTTCATTATAAATGATCAGCATTGAGTTTTAAAGACTAAAAGCTAAGGGACTCATGGAGGGAGATTTTTAAAATCAGCTATTTTCCTTACAGATTTTCTACCTCTTGGAGTCACCAAGCTAAAGGTAACCACCGGAGGTGAGGGAGGGAGGAGTGGAAGTTCCCGTGCACCCTGAGTCTGCACACAGTGGGCGGACACACTCCAAAGGCCCGTGAGCAAGTGCACGGTTAACCCAGGATAAAGGCTGGGGCTCCTGGCACCCTTGTGTTGTGCTCTTCCCTTATGGAGAATGATCTACTTCAGTTTCATGCCACTTTACATAGCACCAAATACACAGCCTGACTTTCAGTTTCCATGTGGGGAACTTTAAATCAAGAATTATAAAAATATCAAATGCCAACATTTCACAGGTCAGGATAGAGTCAATTAAATAGTTTTGGCAAATACCTCGGCACCCTACCCTCATGGAATTGTGCAAATTGAGTGTTTTTCTGTCTTCCTGGGTCATTCTGGAAACTTACAAAAAACAAAAGCGGACCCAATCAGGAGCCATCCAAGGCAAGCGACAAGAGCAGGAAGTCTGCAGAAGCCACAGGAACCAAACCCAGCCAGCACAAGACAACCGCAGCTCTGGGAGCCCCACTTCCTGGGCAGAACTGAGACACGGGACCAGGTCGGCTCGACCACCTCACAGGGCTAGCGCTGTGCTGGGCAGGGTGCTAGGACTGGTCACTAAAACCAATTGGACTTTGTTCCCTCCTGGCAAAAGGGAAAGCTGAACTATCTGTAAAGCTCTTTCCACTCTGAAATCTTATGTTTCTGTGATGACATGTAGTATGGATCTCGGCTAAGTCCTCTAGATGCATAAGGCTGAGGGCTGCAAGCCTCAAGAGATTCACAAGAACAGATCATGCATTCAAAGGTCTATGTGAAGGCTTAATTTGTATATCACAGATTTCCTATTTATAAAAACAATTATATTCCTGTTTTTTCATATTTTATCAAACATCCCATACTTTCTGCTAATAAAAGACAAAGATTACTAGAAATTCTTAAGACTAAATATAATATACCACATGGTCACTTTTCAACAGAAAGAACCATACAATAGGCCAGGCGAGCAGTGCAAAAGCCCGAGTTCAGCGTGGGCTCATGAGCTACTTCACCTCTCTGATCCGCAGTTCCTTTAGTCCGTAAAACAGGATAGTCAGAGCTAACTTGCGATGCGATCACAAGAATTTGTTGCGATTAAGAATGCTGAGAGCCAGCGCAGGGCCTGGTATAGTTTAGGCAAGTTGTAAGGCCAGTACCCTTGCCAACGACTGTCACTAAATGTGTCTATGCACTTATTTACTTCTAAAGTCAATTTTGCAAAAAAAAAAAAGAAAAAGAAATTAATAAAAAGCATTTTATATTTACTTTCAGAGCATATGTTTCACTCTCCTCTCCTCCTTGATAAGAAATTACAACTCATACTTCCTATTTTCAAACTGCATCATACTTCCTGATCTCAAAATAAATTCTAAAACTACAGTAATCAAAATAGTTTGATACTGGCATAAAGATCTGACAGTGCAGATCAATAGAACAGGATAGAATCTCGAAATAAATTCACACATCTACTACGGTCAACTAATCTTTGACAAGGGCGCCAAGAACACACAATGGGGAGAGTCTCTTCAATAAATGGTGTGAGTAAAACTGGATATCCACATGCAGAATGAAATTGTATCCTTACCTCACACCATGTACAAAAATCAACTCAAGATGACTTCAAGACTTCCACATAAGACCTGAAACCATATACCTACTAGAAGAAAACATGGGTGGAAAGCTCCTTGACATTGGTTGAGCAACAGTTTCCTCAGATAGGACGTCAAAAGCTCAGGAAACAAAAGCAAAAACAGACAAGTGGGGTTGCATCAAAATAAACAGCCCAGCATATGAAACAATCAGCAGGGTGAAAAGGCAACCTAGGAAGGGGAGAAAATATTTGCAAATCATGTATCTAATAAGGGCATAATACCCAAAATATATACAGAACTCAACTCAATAGCAAAACAAAACACAGAAAAAAAAAACCTGATTAAAAATTGGCTGAGGACCTGAATAGACATTTTTCAAAAGAAGGCATACAAATGACCAAGAGGCATATTAAAAAGTGTTCAACATAACTAATCATCTGGGAAAGACATGCCAAAACCACAATGAGATATCACCTCCTATCTGTTAGGATGGCTATTCTCAGAAAGACAAGACTCTTGTAAGAGAAAAGGAAACCCTTGTGCACTGTTTGCAGAAATGTAAACTGATGAAGCCACCTGAGGAACAGTATAGAGGTTCCTCAAAAAATTAAAAATAGAACTACCATATCACCCCACAATCCCACTTCTGGGTATTTATGAAAAAAATGAAATCAGTATCTTGAAGCAATAGCTGTACTCCCACGTTCATTACAGCATTATTCACAGTAGTTAACACAGGGAAGCAGCGTAAGTGTCCGCTGATGGTGAATGCATAAAGAATCTGTGGGATGGGGTATATAGTGGGATATTATTCAATCTTTCAAAAAAAAGCAATTCTGCCATGCAACAACATGTGTGAACGTGGGAGACATTATGGTATGTGAAATAAGCCAGACATAGAAAGACGAATGCTGTACGGTCACACTTAGATGTGGAATTCATAAAAGCAGAGGGTAGAAAGAAGGGCTGGGGTGCGGGAACATGAGGGGACACTGGTAAAAGGGTGCAAAGTTTTATTTATGAGGATGAATAAGTTCTGGATCTCACATACAGCATGGTATCTATGAGGAGGAGAGTTGATCTTAAATGTTTGCACCACGCACGTACACAAATGTAGCTATGTCAGGTGGTGGATACGTTAATTAGTTTGATTGTGGTAATCATTTCACAATGTATACATAAATTGAAATAGCACATTGTACACCTTAAATTATTTATAATTTTTTCAAAGATTTTATTGACTTATTTTTAAAGAGGGGAAGGGAGGGAGAGAGGGAGGGAGAGGAACAGTAATCTGCGGTTCCCTCTGGCACCGCCCCCTACTGGGGACCTGACCTGCAACCCAAGCATGTGCCCTGACTGGAAACTGAACCAGTGACCCTTTGGTTCGTAGGCCAGCACTCAATCCACTGAGCCACACCGGCCAAGGCAAATTACTTACAATTTTTATTTGTCAATTATACCTCAATAAAGTTGGCGGGGGGGAAGAAATTTCAACTCAAGGAATGTCAACTAACTCTGTGGTTAATGGCCTCCTAAAAACAGGACATCCAAGAGTCTAACTTCTATTTATATTCTAATGTGTTCTGATGGTACACATGTTACAACGGATTGCACTAATATGCTCCTAATTTTAATCAACTTAATAATGACTATTTCCCTCACCTCTGAAAGAATAACCCATTCTATATGTCTTTTACCACACCATTATTTTTGTATGTATTTTTTTATGAACAAATCAGTAGTGTTTTTAAAAGATATTCTGAAATAAGCCAGTCAGAGAAAGACAAACACCATATAATTTTAGTCATATGTGGAATCTAATGAGCAAACTGAACAAGCAAAACAGAGAGTCATAGATGGAGAACAGATGACAGCTAGTGGGCGGGGGAGTTAGGAGGTGGAGGGATTGAGCAAAAAGGAAAAGGACTCATGGACGTGGACAACAGTGTGGTGATTGCTGGGGGGAGGGAGGTGCAGGGGGACTAAATGGTAATGAAACAAATATAATAAAGATTAAATTCGTTAAAAAAACATCCTGAAGAAGTAGCTTCTAAATGGATATTCCTTAAAGGCAGAAAAAGAATTTTGGTGATCCCTGTATTTCACCTGGACCTCTTTTTTAATGTTCCTTGTGCTACAAGAAGAGCGAAAACCAGAGCTGCAGAATCCAGGCCTAGTGAGGGGTAAGTCAGCAATGTTAAATGTAATTGACTATAAGCCTATCGGTGAACCATGTCAAACTCAGCTGAAAACTGAAGTTCTGACATTAAATATCACGGAGACAACAAGAAGCAGATATTCACACTGCACTTCTTGCCTGTAAAAAATCTGGCAACATCTGGCATGTATGGGGCATTGCGATAGCAGGCCCAGCACAAAGCAAAGGCACATGCACCTTGCTCAAGGCATCCTCAAGACACGCCTCCCCGCCCCCGCCCAACGGAGAACCCAGCGTCATGGCCACTCACACAGGTGGGCTGGAGTCAGAAGGTGCAGTGGCCTGCGGGGTTCTTGACCCAGGTCAACCCATACTTCTAGCCAACTAGACTATACAGAAAGGTCCTACAGCTTAAGAAAAGCCCATCTATTAGGAATTATTTTGGCAGAAAGGTTAACACTCAATTTGTTCCTGTAGCCAATGTCCTAAGAGCCAGGTTAGTATGTTCTCTATACAATAATCAAATTCAGTTTGCATAAATAAAACAATCCTATCATAAGGTACCAAGGCAAAACTGTAAATGACTGAAAGATCCAAAAAAGGGTAAGTCAGTTCTTTTCAGTTATGAAAATCATTCCATTATTTAATGGCATTTTTTCATATTTCTTACAATTCACTGCAATGTAGACAAGTACATGACCCATTTGAAAATGTGACCATGTTCTGCAAGCTGCCACCTCTACAGAAAACACACAGGGCGGAAAAGGCTTTGGGAGGAGGAAAACCCGATACATCTGAAGAGCAGAAAATACGCAGGCCTAGGAGCTGTGGGCTAGGTTTTCCAGGTCTCGTCAATTAAATCTGTAGGACTGGGTTTGCTGTGTTCCAGATGTGGGGAGCCAAGGTCAAATTCAGTCCCTCAGACCTGACGCCAAGGTCGTTCAAACACTCACTCTTTATTCTTTAGAGTGAATCTGCCACCTGGCAGACACTCACCACAAGGGGCAACCCACCTCCCACCACAAAAGACATCTCATCCGCTCCCTGCTCCCTGCCCCCTGCTCCCTGCTGGCGCCTAGGGTGGCAAACAGGAAAAGGCTTTCCCTTCTAGTATCTCCACTGACTTATTGAAAATGGTGTTACTAGAAAGCTCGAGTGACCTTATTCAGGAAAGCCTTTACAAAGGATGTTGGTACAAGAGTACATTTCAATGAGAAGACAAATAATATTAAACTTCAACTGTTCACGATAAACCTCCAGTTAAAAATGGTCTTATATGTCAAGTCCCGTAGTACCTACACACACGGAAAGAAAACATCACCAGGTCCACCTGTTAGGCAATTAGATATATTTATTTTGAAATACTTTTCTCTTACCTGAAAAAGTGTTGACGTTACTTGTTTCTTGGATAGATGATTTTGGACATGTTCTACAGCTTGCTTCGAGAATGGCTTTTAAAAACCAAAAACAGTATTTTTTTTCAATAATTATAAAACATAACAAACCTTTACGGTATACAACATCACAACATGAATTCAACACAACAGTTATTAAACAATAACCTAGAAACATAAAAAAGTTCATCATATTAACATGCATTCTTTAAAAAAAAAAAATCTGTTGGATGTTTGCGGGCCATCTGAGCAAATGTTTGGTCCTCTGAGCTTCTGGGGTTCTTAGACACCACGTTGGGGAGAATGATGAGTGTAGTTGAGTGATATCTAATCCCACAAGAATTCAAGAGTACTGTGATTAAAAAAAAAGTAAAAAGTATAAAGAATTTTATCATCACCATATTAACCAAAAACATCCACTGATTAGCTGATAATGGGGTCCTAAAAATGTAAGATATCTATAAAATTAAAATTTCTAAATAAGAAAAAAAATGAACGCATGAAACGCCAGGATTACAAAACTAAACCAGGGCGTGGCAAAGGCTCTGGGGTGAGGAAAAATCCTGCTGTGACCACAGCAGGCAGGAACTGGTTCTGAAAGAATGAAACTTACCATACTTTCGGGGGGGCTAGAGTAATTACAACCTCGATCCTACCCCAAAACTTCAATTATGTCTTCTTCAATAACATACAGTAAGAAAGCCTTAAAAACTGTATCACACTGCTTTAAAAAAAAATACGAAACCCTCAAAATTGCTGCATGACGTGAAAACGAAGTTGACGGAGGCTTTCCCAGCGAGTATCTGGCACTTGCCAAGGTTCAAGTCGGCTCCAGCCGAGGCACAGAGCCCAGCGGTGAGCTCCAGCTCAGAGGCTGTCTGCTGCGCGGTGAGTGGGACCAAAGAACAATGTCCCAATTATACTTCCAGAGGTGTCATCTTCAGCCACCACAGTTATTCAAATGCCAGTTAAGAACTGTAAACACCACAATAAATACAGGAGCACTAATGCACAGTATTATTGTGGCCAGTGCTGTCAAGCGAACTTCCTGTGATGAGGGACAGATGTGCTGTATATCTGAGCTGCCCATTCCAGGAGCCACTGAGCCACATGTGGCTACTGAGCACTTGAAATGTGGCTCATGAGAAGTCAGGAATTGAATTTTTAATGCCATTTGATTTTAATTAATTGGACAGCCACTTGTGGCCAGTCACTACAGTATCTGATACAGCAGGCGAGGACTATTAGGCCATTCCTTTGGCAAACCATCTTAATATAGCAAAATTACATGGTAAATTTTTATTACCAATTTTTCCACCCACTCCTGGTAGAATGATTTCCTAGGAACTTAGCTTATACCAATGACCAAATTGAACTGTTTATCTGATTTACAAGAAAAACAATTCCATCATTATTTAACACCTAATGAACACAATTAATATAATAATTACAATCTTCTTAATTTAAAGAAATCACGTAAGGCTTATATTTATCAATTTCTAATTAATCAAAATGTAAGAGTATAACTAAATTAAAAATAATAAAGTTTAATTTCCTTGAAAAAGTCTAGAATTGAGCCTAGCCTTTTCTTCCATTACGCTGAATTCGCTATTTTATTTCATCCTTTTTTGCAGTGAAAATATGTTTTTTTGGAACTATATTAAGAGCATATGGAACAATGGATATTGTATAAGTATTATCAGGAAGCAAATGACAAAACATGGGTATCATTTAATTTTTAAACACCTCCTCCTGTTTTATTTCCATTCTGGAAACACTGCAGGCCGGCTTGTACACAGCCACACTAAAGGAACAGAACAAGAAACACTTACATGTGAACAAGACAGCAGCTCCCTCATGATATAGGTGTCATAAATTTGTCGACTTCTACAAAGGCGGTCTTCCTCATTATCAAGCTTTTCATATTCTTTTATCTAGATGTAGAAAAGCCATCATTGTTAGGTATGTCTTCCTAGAAACCTGCTTTATTAAAAGATATTACTAGTTTTGCCTTAAGGCACTTCCACACGAGATCATGCAAATTAGGGAACTGGCTATTCCACAGGAAACAACTGCTTATAATGTTGTCATAATGAAGGTGGAACAATTTGAACCCAATGTGAAACCTACAAATGGAATTTTCCCTACGATGAACCTCATCACTTAAATTTGGAAACACAATATTGGGAAACAAATACTGCCATGGTTACAACGCTCTCACACTCTACCAGCTGTGGGCCACTCAGGCTCGCCAGTCCTCCTTCCCAAAGCGCAAACAAGTTCAATCTGGCTGTACTTCAGGTCTAAGAGTTATGATGTAGTTCTTGCTCAACAACAGCATTGCAAAACTAACAGGAGAAAATATATATATACACACACACAGTCGGGATTCCTGCAAAGAGATTTTTTTTTTTTAAATCAACTGAACACTTTGTGAAGGTATTACTCATAGATTAAAGTGCTGGGACCTCATCTTCGCTATTAAAGTATTAACAGAAAGCTTACTTCAAACAGTGCATTTTGCTGGCTTAGGGAAGGTAACCCGACCGTATTAAGAGGGGCCCAATAATGAAAGGTGCTTTAGAAATATCTGCCTTATGTGGAAATGGCCCCAATCATTCTAACTTGAAGGCAGAAGCTCCTGGATCAGCGAAGTGTTTTTATTTATTTACAGTAATACTTTTATTCCAAAAGTCAAAATAAGAATGAAAACAGATGACAAACGGAGCTAGCAGGAAAACTAGCAAAGATCTTCAATGTAATGACTAATTACTACATACGACTTTTGGGGGGCAGGGAGGAATGTTTCCAACAGGTAGCCAGATCTGTTCCCTAGTATCTGAGTGCTCTTCGTCCTTGCGTGATAAAAGGTGGGGCTCACTCCTCCCATGGAAAAGTATAAACTAATGGAAATAAAAGTTACCTTTTTCCTTTACACTGGGCTTGACAGTTTTGAAATCAAAACCAGTAAGTCCTATAAGAATTTCTGATGAGGAAAGGGCAGGGCGAGGGGTTTGTGGGACACCGCGGTCCCTCCTGAGGCCCAGCTGGTTCACACCCTGAGACATCACAGGGACCATCTGAACTGCCCTGGAACACCATCGGCATTAACACCGAGAAGGCCGAGATTCACGCCTGTGACCGCTGGGACTCAGACCGGAGGGAGTCTTCTCGGAACAGATAAAATCTGACACACAGGCAGGCAGACCGGGGTAGCTTCATACCCCAACCACGAGGAAAAAGACTTTTAATGAAGAAGCGACCCAGCAACAACCAAAGGCCCTGGCCTTACCCATCCCAAATGACTTCAGGAAAACAAGTCTAAACTTGACTTGTTTAGAACTTGAGTTCTAAAGAACTCAAACATCAGGCCAGATGCAACTTCGGCAGCTACGAGACAACGGAAACTGGACACCAACATTGGAATAGACTCAAAAATAAACTCAGGATTCTGATTCAGTTGATTTTTTGTTGTTGTTGTTGTTTTGTTTTAGGTAGGTGAGTGCCAGAATGCTGGGGTAAAACAGGCAGACTGATAGTGAGCCAAAGGCCAATGTTGCTGCCTATACATCTGAACAAATTCAAGGAATAATAAGCCTTCATGGAATTATTGTCCTTGAAAACAAGTGTAATGAAACATAAATCTACGTTCCAGGGGAACTGTAAAGCAAGTCGACACCTGGTTAAACAAATGCTGATTCTACAGAAGTTTTTCCTGAACTGTAATAACCCAGCTATATTGAAAATTCTGGCTTTACTAAGAACCTTCTGCTTCCTGAACTTCAACTTGAATGATAGAAAAGGTAACTCTTAGTAGGCAAAATAAGAGCCTACAGTATCTGTGGCTGTAATTCAACATTTACTATTATCAGTAAGACCACTAATTGAAGAACATGCAGTCAACTATAAGTTAGCTCCAGACAGGATGTCCTTATTGTAGCATAACATAGAAAATGCCACTCCTAATTCTGGTGGAGAGGTTCTCCTGGTAACCTGAGCACGCAGGGGCCTGAGTTCAAGGTGCAGACTCCCCTACGGCAGGACAGACGCGTCATCGCCAAGGAAAAACATTCACTGATCACATAGCTCCCTTCTGCGTTGGTGGCTACGAAGCTCACAGCTGAACATGCAGCCTAAGTGTCCAGAACCCTAAGAGCTGGCACTTTGGGTCCACGGCTGTCACGGTCCACCTTCTCCCCCTACCATTCCACTGGGACGGTCTAGCAGCATCACCAGAGGCCTCTGCCCCGCCTAACCAAGGGCCTCTCTTTCGTCCTTAGTTTCACTGACTTCTCCATAGCATTCAACTCAGTTGCCACCGCTGCCTTCTTTGAAGCTCCTTCTCTGGCTCTCCAAGGGTTTGCCACTCTGGCTTCCTCCTCCTCAGCCTCCCTTGGTCGTCCTCCTTCCTCTGCGTGGCTTCGCAATCCTGAAGTGCCTCAGAGCATGGTGCTAGGGCACCCACTCTTCACCCACGATATTCTCCTTCGGTAAAACCATCCCGTCCCACGGTTTCATACACCAAGTACAGTCCCGTGACTATGTCAGTCTCTAGGGGCACCGGTGGCCCTGAGCTCCAGACTCTGAGTATCCAGCTACGCATCTGACATTTCCACATCCTCTCTGCCCGAGGCAAACATGCCCTTGCCCCTGTCTTCTTGATCACAAAAGTGAGTAAAATCATACTCCTAGTGGCTTAAGCCAAAAAGGAATAATCATCATTTTTTCTCTTTTGCTCACATCCCTGCCCCCACTAACCTCTATATCCAACCCATTAGCCAATTATCTTGGTTTTATCCTCAAACTACACCACAAACCCAGGTTATGCTTTAGGTCATAGCCAACTAACTGCTAACAGAACAATCCTCCTGAGGAAAAAGAAGTCTGGACACACAGAATACCTACGACACGGAAGCACTGCCCTTCGCCACACAGAGTGGCGAAGGGCATCAAACAGAAGCTGGGATGTAGGAGAGGATGTTCTTGAAAATACAGTGCCAGAGGGGGAGCTCCGAAATTCTGTGGCTATAACCTGTCAGAATCTCTTTGGGGCCCCATAATGACATGTGAGCATGGCTGACACAAAGAAGTCCAGCTAAGGCGAAAAAAACGAACAACGTTCCGTTGCTACCTGTTGATGGCCGCTGAATAAGCCGAGTTAACTAATAAAACAAAAAGTCAATGAGCTTTGAGAAGCATACGCTGTTTAGCCTATCTACAGTATATCAACCACAATGTACCAGGTACAATCCAAAATTATTCTACACATGATGGAAGAGGAAAATGTGCCCCACCTGCGACAGAACAGGCCATAAATAAGACCAATCCAAGGTGGCTCTGACGTTGGACTTATCAGACATGGATTTAATGCAGCTATTATAACTATACTCAAAGACATAACAGAAAATAGGCATGCAATGAATAATAAACAGGACAGAAAATAACAGCAGAAAAATATTAACTATGGAAGAATCAAGTGGAAATTTTAGAACTAAAATACACAGTATCTTAAATAAAAAAGTCAATGGATGGACATAATTGCAGACTAGAGAAGCCGAAAGAAAAAGTCAATGAATCCGAAGACAGAACCATAGAAAATACCCAATCTGAACGACGGGAAGAAAACACGTTTGGAGAAAAAATGGGAAAAGACATCAGTAATATTTAGGATAATATCCAAAAATCACATATACATGTAATTGGAGTCTCAGAAGGAGGGGAAAGAGAGACTGAGGTAGAAAAAAATGTTTTAGGAAATAATGGCCCACATTTTGCCAGATTTGGTGAAAGATACAAAAGGTACAGATTCAAGAAACTCAGCAATCTGACAAAGGACAAACACATTATCTAAGATTACTCTACTAAAATATAGAGATTGTCAGAAATGGGGATGAGGGTAGAGGGGGGTGAGCAAGACATTTTTATACCTGCCTAAAAGAAATATACCCTACACATAAAAACACTGAAAGTGGATGGAAAAGATCTATATCATGAAAACAATAAGCACAAGGATATTGAAGTGGCTATATTAATATCCAATGAAGTCATTTTCAAGACAAAAAAATATTACTAGCAATAAAGAGGGATACTTCATATAAAAACATAACAATCATAAATGTATATGCACTTAATAACAGAACTTCAAAGTACATTAAAAAAGACAATAAAAAAGAAACAAACAATTCTATAGTCAAGAGTTGGAGGTTTTAACACCCTCTCTCAGAAACTGATAGAACTGTGTAGACAATCAGTGAAGATGTAGAGGGTCTATTGCGTCAGCCACTTTGATCTGATTGGTATTTATAGAATAATTACCTAACAACACTCCCTGTATTAAATTTTGCATGGGTTTTAGAAAAAAATCTGAATTTGTTACTCCAGCCCCCAAACCATGCCTCTGAACTGATCACACACCACCCCACCCCTGTCTCCCAGTACAGACACCCCACGCTGATCTTTCGGTTCCTCAAACACATCAAGTTCTTTCCCACCACATCAGGGGCTGCCTTAGCCGTGGCCTTAGCCGTGACCTTAGCCTGAAACGGTCTCCCCCGCCCCACCCTGTTCCCCTCTTCCAATGACTGGCCTCCTTGTCATTCGAGTCTCAGTTTAAATGACACCTCCCAGAGAGCCCGTCTTTGACCCATCGCTCTAAAGTGGCCACAGGTCACAGTACATGAGTTTTAAGTCTGTTTTGAGTCACTGCATAGTAGTTATTACTTCCTGATACACTTCCTATGTTTTGACTGTGTTTTGAGTCACTGCATAGCAGTTATTACTTCCTGATATATTTCTTGTTTGTTTATTAGTTGCTTATTGTCTGTTTCTCTCAACAAAAATAGAAGCTAAAAGACAGCAAGGACTTGGCCTTATTCATCCAAACAATACCTCCTAGCATTGCTGTTTGATAAATATTGGTAGAATGAGTGAAGAA